TAACAGCGGCGGGGATCTTTTCAGGCTGCTGGGCCTGGGCGTCGCTCCTGGGCAAGGCCCGCAAGTGGAGGCGGCTCCCGGGTCCTCCCTGCTGGAGGCCTCTTTGGGAGCTGGAGGTTCTTGACAGGCAGCGCCTCCAGGAGGCCGCAGACGGCAATGGTGTTTAGAGGGTGTCCCGGGGTCGTGTCTAGCGAGCCGTCCGCAAGACTCTTGTTAAATAGCTGTCAGTCAGGGAGGAAACGGAAGATAAATGGGCAAAAAGCACCCCCTGGCTTTCTGACATTTTGTGCTTTAGGCATGCTCTATCTTACTGAGCAAAATTAGTGTTTTCTTCTGAGCTCCAGTAAGTGGCAGAGCATCACACAACAAAAACTTGTATGTTGTAGGCAGTGACCTGTTCTTGCAGTTGTTGTGGGCAGGTAGAAAACCGAGCTCTAGATTGTGTAAACCCAGGGCAGACCTCTCATTGCCTGGTGCTTGTTTCAGTTCCCAGTGTTACTGTGTATTGTTCCACAGGGCTCTTTCTGCTGAACATCATCTTCCCAGTGCTTTGGTTTTGCCTGTTGTGAATATATTGTCTACACAATCGTCTTCACACTCGATTCTGCATTAGCAGTGATAAGCTCCTGTGCTAGAAAATAGAAGGATTTGTAGTGGTGCTTTTTTAAAAGCACCCTTTGGCTTCTTCAGTAGGAAAATCACAGAATCCTAGAACGGACCTTAAAGTTCATCTAGTCCTACCCCCTTTGTGTGACCATCCATCCAATTCCTTATCCACCAGGTAGGTGGTCCACCCATCAAATCCATGTCTCTCCAGTTGAGAGACAAGGATGCCATGCGGGACTCTGTCTAAAGTTTTGTGCAAGTCTAGATACCTGATGTCAGTCATTCTTCCATTATCCACCAACACCATGATCCCATTGCAGAAGGCCACCAAATTTGTCAGGCACGATTTGCCTTTAGTGAAGCCATGCTGGCTGTCACCAATCACCCCCTTATTGTCTATGTGCCTTAGCATAGTTTCCAGGAGGATTTGCTGCATGATCTTGGCAGGCACCGAGGTGAGACTGACTGGCCTCTAGTTCCCTGGATCTTCCTTTTTTCTTTTTAAAAATGTGGGGTATGTTTCCCCTTTTCTAGTCAGTGGGGACTTCAATGGACTGCCAAGAGTTCTCAAATATGATGGATAGTGCTTGGCCACTTCATCCGCTAGTTCCCTCAGGACCCAATACAGTAGAGGTGTTGTTTCAGTTTACCTGCACTCTGAAGGCCTTACAGGACTGCAGGTTACTCACGGTCTACTGCTGGATGATGAAATCTTATTGTTGGCTTCTTCTCTGTGCCAGAAACTATAATCCGTTGCTAACAATGGTGTTGAATCTATGGCTTGGTCATGAAGTACAAGCTCATGTGCTTGTGTGAAACCCAAAAGGCTACTGGGGCCTTACGGATCACCAACAACATAAATTAAAATTGTTAAACCAGTGGTAATTGTCAGCAGTCCCACTTTGCATAACTTCCTTATTTGGTGCTGCAACAACACAGTATTCCACTGATAAAAGTGGTTTTCAGCAGTTAATTCTCAACACACAGACTAAATACAATCTTTTTTGTGCTGATTTTGAACATTGGAAATGTTTCCATTCAAAAAGAATAAAGCCAAACACTGCTAAATTCCTTGAGAAGTTTGTTTCTCAAGGGAAATAGAAGACAGGCTACTGCTCAGTGGTAGCATTCATCAATAATGAATGGAAATAAAATCTTCTTCACTCAAGAGAGAGACAAGCTGCTTGGGACAGACTTTGAACAAGTTTTAACTCAATTTTTTGCTCTCTGACAAATATTTGAAAGTTCAGTTGTACTTTAACAGCGAAAATTTCCTTCTCCTGCCAAGTGCATCAAGGATTACTGCCCCTTATGCTGCAGGAGACTACACTTTGCTTGACTTATTTATTTAGCAGAGTCTCTGTCCCTTCGGGCATTTTACAAGGAGCTACTAGTGTGTCCTAGCTCTCCCTGCCTACAACAGCCAGCTTCTCTCTCCAGTTATACCTCACACTGTTGGAGAAGCAGGAAGATCCTCCAGGGAGGGCAGATGCCTGAGCAGGTGAGTATAAACCATTTGGCTCCGTCAGAACCACCTAAAGATGATCAGGGGTCATTTAAAACCTCTTGTGCTGGGAACAGAGAAGGGAGGGGGTTGTCTTTGTAGACAGACTTGGAGAAAATGAATCCAATCCTTCAAGCTTACGCATTCCTTCTGTGCTTGCTGGCTGACCTATGGTTTATTTACAGATCAGTCCTCACTATAATTTTTTTCTCAGTTCTTAGCAGCTCAATTTTCGTAAGCAAATATAACATAAAATACTTCTGTGGAATTTTGCATCGGATGCAGCTAGCAATTTCAGTTGCTTCTGGTGTTTTCCAGAAGAGGTAAGTTGTCTAACCAGGCTGATGCTTGCATTTGGTTGTATGTATTTCATTGCCTTCTAATAAACTTTTTGTTTTGGCTGTGCAAATGGAATTCATTATTTCCTGATGAGACAATTTCTGGTGATACTTCAGCAGTATCCAGAGTCTGCTTTAAAGAATATATTGGGGAAACTAGTGCCCACAGAGCTCTAGTGAAGAGGAAAGCAGTGACCAGTTCTATACTATGGTTATTAAAGGAAGTTTTTGGCAGTGGCACATTTGCCCTTGTATATGCCTCAAATTAATCTATCTATCTTGTTTGTGACAAGCTTCAAAATAAAGTTGATAAAAGCATCACAAAGCAAGTTTTCCCACAAAGCCAAGTTATAACAAGGCTGCATTGTGAAAGATTTTAATTACCTTAGATAATGTAGTGAAAACCTCTTAGTTAATAATGGAGAGTTGGGGGGTTTTCTGTGAGCACTGAATAGTTTTATGCCGAAAGCACTGCTAAGCCATAAAATAAAAAAAATATAAAAGAAAAAAAGAGTCACAAAATAGATGTATATAAGGAGATCATGTGCCCTTTGATCTGCCATCTGCCCAACCTAAATGTACATATTACCAGTAGAGTTGCCAGTTCTTTCAGGTATATAGTGCAGTAGATGATTTGGGCCCTTCATATAGAGTACTTTTCTGAGATGAAATTGTATAGACATGTAAAATTTTGTCTGACAGTGTTGATTTTCCATGTTGTTGGCATATTTGGGGATTTTTTGTTCTAGGAAACTAGTTAAGAAACTGTTCTAATAAATGTTTCCTCATTTGCTCATACATGATGGGGAAAAATGTGACATGGTAAATAAATGCAAGTAGTTCAAACAGCATCAACTTTCTTTTTTTGCAATCTTTAATGTAGGTGTTGTCTATTTATAGAAGTAGGAGAACAGAAGCTTAAATAGAATTTTCAGTATGTAGGAGCTCACATTAAGTTGGAGAAAGTTGATTTTGCTCTGAATAGCCTCTCCAAGAGAGAGGCCACTTAAAACAAGACATTTTTGGCTAACATAAGAACTGTCTTCCTTTCACATTATTTTTACTTTCAAACAAGCAATTTCTTATTTGTTCTGCCTCATCCTCTGCATCCAGGTTGAATTTGGAGAGTCCAAGTATTCTAAAGTCTCAGTTTTGTCCAGTTACCTCACAAATAAAATTATTTGGCCTTAAGTCATTGTGGAAAATTTACATCATGAAGTAGGTTTCCCAGAAATACAAACAGAGGAAACCCAAAGTCTTTACCAGTGACACTGATACTAACCCTCTGGGTGAGGTGAGGACATGGTGTACTGGGATTGAAAGAATCGTTGTTAAATAGAATATATGACCCGAACGTTTTGTTTTACAAGCATATGTTCTCTTTATGCTAGTTACTGTAGCATTAGCAGCATGTCTGTATTAGCAGTTTGGCTTGGAGCAGTGATGCAATTTTAAGCCAAATCTCTCAGTTGTCAAGAGCTGCCTTATGCTTATTAATTCCTCAGAGTGGTTTTGAGGTGTGCCTTCGGAATGACTTTCAGAGAGAACTGTACTGGGCTCTGTGCTTCAAAAAAGCTTCCTGGGGGCAGTGGTTTGGGCTTCTGTCTGCACCCACCCTGTCATAAGGCTCTCTAGCTCCCACTTAACACTCATTTACCACTGAAGGGCTCTGAAACCCTAGAAAACCTGTGGCATGCTGAGGAGCTCATAGGCTGTACAAAGATCTTAGTGTTCTGTATAGTGTTCTCATTTACACTAGAACTGTCATTCTCATGAGTTTTTAAGATAATTTTGCACTCACAGGAATCTAGGAAAACAAATACATGTTGATGACACATTTCAATAGCTTTAACTAGACACTGCTTTTATATTTTATTGCTATAAATTCTACTCCTGTCTAAATAAAACTTTCCCAAGCTCTCATATCTTAGCATGGTTGTCACAAGTGACACACAGCTGGTTTTCATTCAGGTTGCTTTACAGACAATTCAGGTTGACAGTGCTGAGAAGAGAAGCAGTCCCCCTACTTCCATCTCTTCCCTATCTCTCCAGCACTTCCACTTCTACAATATCCACTGCTACACTACTCCTTTTTTTAAACCTTTGTCATATACCAGAGCGTGTGTTTAGACTTAGGGTTGTCCTCAGACAACCAGGTTGTCCTCCCTACTGGGGAGAAAATTATCCCAGCCAAAACCAGGATAAGTAAGTAATTTTGTGCTTAATCACAAGTTCCAGATTTATTTCAAAGATCTTAGTAGGAAAATATCAAGTGGTGCAAGTGTTGCAGAGTGATAACCTCGCCTCATGTAGAGAAATAAGAATTGTACAGATTATGGCTCTGTTCAATATTTAAACAGAAATATTCAATTTACATTTTTAATGCATCTAGCTCTGTTGGTACTGAAATGTCACATAAAAAATCAACAGCAATATACTCCCTCCTCAAAAGAACCAGGGAAATATTTTCCCTGGATGAAACTGCCATGCTGTTTTCCTTTCACTGTCAGAGGGGAAACTCTGAATAAGGAAATGCATCACTGAATTGTTAAAGTAAGCATTTGATTAGAGAGTGAGGAAGAGATGGTTGTAGAGTGAGAAATCTGTGATACTGCAGCTTTTTATTTAAATAAGCTTTTTAATTTGAACATATGTTGAACAAGCAGGATGGATAAATCAAAGAGCCTGTTTCCATTATATGCATATTTTATTAGTGCAATCAGTGGGCTGAATCTCTACTGGTACATTACATGCCTAGGAATGCTTGCAGGAACTGTGGCCAGGTAGCATGGGTTGGCCTGCGCCTGTATGAGTGAACTCTCTCGGCCCTCAGGACTGAGTGCTCATATCCAGTCTGCCTAATGCAAATGCTCATGGTGATGCTCTGCCTCCCAGACTGTGCCTGGAAACTGGGAGGATGTCAGTTGGCAGAAGCTTGAAGCATGCAGAAGAACACGCTAATGCCTTAACAATGTAAGTATTCACATGCCAGTGAGAGGGAATTATCTAACCTAATAGTGAAGGCATAATACCTGTTACTTCTGCCACCTGAAAGTGACATTTATTTTCTCCTTCTCCTGTCTAGCAATATGGCAAGCTCATAAACAAGCTCATAAATATTGTCATTCTGTGTGTATGAATTTATTGCAGATTTTTCTGGTTTTGGTTGGATTTTTTTTTTCTTACATTCAGATCTGTGTGTGGAAATTGATTTTACATTTTTCCATCTCAGAGTACACCTACAGTCCAGCTTAATAATGCATGCAAAGCTTTGGCAGGCATTAATATAGCTCAAGCTTTATGATTTTCCTGATGGAGCGCTGCTTACCATCACAATTTTTTCTTTTCTTGGTTCACACAGGTTTTTGCAATCCAGACGAATTCACTGAGTGCTGAGCACCTCTTTCTTCCATAAAAATTCTTGGGAGAGCTGAAAATCAAGATTGAGACTGCTCTTAGTTGATCGGGAAGCAGTATTGTTACAACTGTTTTTAATTATTGAGTTAAAGGAACAAAACCAGTTCCAACACTCTTGAATCTATTAACAAGATGCAGCTTTCACTTTTAGAGACTGATGTTCAGTCATGGGTAGGTATTTTGTTACTCTGTGGGAATGTACTAGAAGTTACACTTGGTCTAAATATCCTAATGCTGAAGAATATGATGACACATATATATCTTGAAGTGAAAGTCAGGAATTAGGGAAGAATTAGCTTCAGACATGCATGTAGCTGATGAAGCTAATAAAAAAAATCATGTAACCAGCCAATGAAGATACATTTACTGTGTTTCTTCCATAGTTTTTCTAAAGAATAAAGACTGAAATTAGCCTTCATCATCAGGTTCACAATAGACATTCTGACCTCTTAGTACAATAGCTTATTCAGGAAGGATTTAACTTCTCAAAACTTTTTTGTTGTTATTTTGCCACTGAAAAATAGAATTTTCTTCTTCTATTAGTTCTAACTTAAGTATGATGTTGCAGCCTATTACGTTACGGTATTTACTGGGCATATGTGATTTTAATTACTCTGATTCCATTCCAGATTTTACAGTGAAAATTATCAAGATACTTCTTTTTTGCCCCAAGTTTTAAAATGCAGTGTCCTTGAAAAAGTAAGCTTTTCTGATACTGTGAGAGAATATAGGAGGATAAGTACGTGAATAAAAGGTTTACAGTTTTATACACATCAACAGCAACTCTTCTAAGTTATCATGTACAGCAATGCAACGAGGAGTATTGAAAAGTATGTTAATGCTTTCTGTGTTTCAGTGCAATGCAAACAGAACTTTCGTATTGTTGTAGGATTCTCACCAAAGTATTGCAGTAGAATATTTGCTTCTGACAAGGTATATGTCTTCATGGCTGTTATATGGTAAATCTAATTAAGATTTTAAACTTCATTAAAAATCTATCAAAGCCCAAAATTGATGGAAGTGTAGAGCAGTCAGTACTGTGAAGCCCTGAGAGGAGCTCCTGCTGGTTGCTATGATACAAATAATGAATAATACTGCTTCTTTTCTCAGCCAGTCATATTGTGTGGCTCTAAATGGGGTGAAAAGTAATTTTTTCCCATTTACATTCTCACTGTACTTTATCTACTTCTCTCTTCCACCAGGGTTAGCTTTTATTACAGGGCACAGCTGGCACATAGATTATTTCCAGCAGTGTTGAAGGGCCCACATGTCCTCTCGTGATCTCAGAAGCCGTGTAGTGATGCCATATAGACAAGTAATATAAATGTCCAAACTTGTGTAAGAATTGTTTAACAGCATCAAGTTGGTAGCTTGTGGAGTTGTAGAACAGTGAGAAAAAAGCTCAAGTAAATGCTTTGACAATGTTCCTCAGAAGAAGAGGGGAGTATCTGTTTTCACAGCTCTTTGATGCATGAATTGAACTGATTTTCATGGCCTCTCTATTCTCTTGTAGCTTTGCTGCTCCAAATTTTTGTTTTTACAGAGTGAAGTCTTTCCCACTAGAGCTTTCTGGGCTATCAATCTAGTGTCATCTGTTAGAGATGGTCATTGCTGAACCACATGTTCTTTTAAAGGAAGTGATGGGGTCTGCAGGCTATTATGTCCATGTACCTAACAGTACCATGCACTGATAATGATATCAAGCAGATCAATTTCTGTCTTCTCCAAGACTTCATGTCTCAGTTTTCAAAACAGGTCTTGGCCATCTGTCCTTTCTTGCTCTCCTCTTGAAAGAATTCATAATAGCAAACCTTCCCTTGAGTTCAATGGGACTGAAGAAATTATACTAAGCATGAATGAACACTGTGCACTGCATTGTTTATGGGAATAGGAAAGTTTAATTATCTGTGTAAGAACACCACTGCCATGACTTGCATTTTTGTCTCTTCACTGAATTGTGTTTATTTTACTTCAGTTACTTCTAGAAGAAGCCAGTCATTCAAGTGTTTTATGTCAGAAAGTGGCTAATAATGGCTTTAAGCTGAAAAAGGGTTGATTTAGATTAGACATTAGGAAAAACTTCTTCACTGTGAAGGTGGTGAGACCCTGGCACAGGTTGCCCAGAGAAGCTGTGGCTGCTCCATCCCTGGCAATGTTTGAGGCCAGGTTGGATGGGCTTTGAGCAACTTGGTCTATGGAAGGTATCCCTGTCTATGGCAGGGGGTTGGAACTAGATGAGCTTTAAGATCCCTTCCAATGCAAACCACTCTATGATTCTAAGTTAGTGATTTTGTGGAACTGATCTAAGCAGAAGCTATTGGCCACCTGGATAGTTTACTGTTTGAATCAGTAAACTACATAAGCTTAAATGAGGTTAAGTTAATTCTTATTACTCTGGAAGGATGAACACCTAAATGCTGTTAGAAGTAATTTTCTTCCTAGCAAACATGTACATTTTGTTTTAGATTGGGGTTGGTAATTACACTTTTTATACTCCTGCTCTTCAACAAACCCATGCTTCAGATGTTTTTATCTCAAATTTTACTTTAGAATCATGACACTAAAAACATGCTGTACACCCTGAGGTAGATGACTGTCTTTTCCGTTTTACTGCAATTAACACAACTCTTATGGGAGGATCCCTTCCATGAGGTAAATCAAGATAGCCATAGAAAGCAGTGCATAATAGCAGGTTACCGTCTAATGCCAGTATATTTCAACTGTATTTCAGTCAGCCATTCTCTTGCAATGAAAAAATAGTTTTAATTATAATCCCTGTCTGCATTATCAGACTCATGTAATTAACACACAGCTACTCATAAAGGCCTTTGGAGATTACAGCTGTTATTAAGAGTAACTGCCTGTCTATTCCTGTGTTACGTCTATGGTTCACTTAATCCCACTTTCTCACATACCTCAATTCTTTCACTTTGCTCCCTAGACATTTAAGAGGATAATATTTATTCATGTAATTTAAGTTCATATAATTTAACAAAGAGCCAACAAAGTGACTGTTTAAGGTAAAAGTTTTTCCATCTCTGTTATCACTGAAGGCAAAATTACCTGAAGACTATGCAGGTTTTGAACTGGAAGAGCTTTGCCAGTAGGTTGCCAATTCTGGAATGACTTTGCCCAAACCTTATAACATGAAACTCACTTTTAGTGCTCTTCATTTGATGTATGGTAGAAGAATACTCCTTTCACTTTCTGATGTGGAAATCGTATATATTTATGTAGGTTCTATTTATGTAGTATTATGTGTACTACTATGGAGACAGTAGCAAGTACATTGCATAAATCAGCAAAGACGTAAGGAAATGCTATTTGTGGTAAATGCTTTATATGAGGTGCAATTGTTTGAATATTAAGATTCTTAACACATTTCAGGTAGGTGAAATTTTATAAATATTTGATGAATAATGTTCAATCATTGGTAACTTTTGCGAAAGCTGAACCACAGAAGAAGAACCTAAAAGATTCTGTATCTCAGTGCACTGATCTGTTTTCACTAACTCCTCCCACTTGTAATTAATTTTCTAAAGAATAGCATTTGTATTGAAAGGAAAAAAACAACCCCACACCTCTGTGTACTCTCTGTATTTCTGAAACATAGCAATTAAGAAATGGATTGCTGTTCAGTTAGATTAACACTCCATTTTTTTTCCCAAAGGCATTTGTGAGACAGAGACCAGTCTTGAATCAATACTGAACTGCAGTAAGACATTGCCATGCAGCCTCTAATGTCAGCATTTTAATAGCTGTTGCCTGTGGTTCATGTAAAGTAAAAAGCATTTTGCCTTTTTCCTCCTGCCTCAGGAAGAGAAAATAATACTGAGTATTCTGTAAAAATTTCCAATTGAGAAGGAACATAATGACAGAAGCAAATCCATATCCTGTCTGTCTGGATGAACTGTCTAGAATTACTTTCAATTCATCTGTAGGTTGCACTTTACAAACAGGACTTCTAGTCTGCTTTATATATTTTAGGGTGAACTAGTGAAGTTAGATATTTAGTTAGATATTTCTCCTCTACTTTCTGCTATTTCATCAATGCATTAAAGCTGATAATATGAATTTACAAGATGTTAAAGAACATTTTCTTTCAATCTGATTCACATTCCTTTTTATTTTACTGCTTAATGTACTTTGCAAGTAGCCCAGCATAAGGGCAGAGTAATATCCAACTTTTAAATACTGTTTTCATGTCCTAGCTGCAAGAAATATTTTGTGGATATTGCACTCACAAGAGCTAAAGTTTTATTTCAGTGTGTAATTAAATGATCCATTTTCCGTATTTATTGCTTTGTGCTCTTTCTGCAATTTTGCAATAGCTTTCAGTTTAATAATCTCTTGTTTTAAAGGTGGGTAAAGCAGAAGGTATTTTACTCTAGGTAAAGAATGCACTGGATGAAGGAGCTGGCAAGGTGGCACTACAAGAGATGATGATTGAATTCTATCAAGTTATACGTCACGAAATTGAAATAGACAATAAAGTTTCCAAAAAAGCTGTTAATATAGAAAACAAAGACCTGTGTCAGGTAACTTTTCCAGATTGCTAGTAAGCCTTGACCTGTACTGTGCTACACCAGTTTTGAACATGCTCACTGGATATACTGACAGGATACTTTGCACAGCTAGTGACAGGCTGTCAGCTTAAAACAGTAATTCATTGGAATCTTATGGTCGAAGTAATACTCATGGGGAATTAAGTGTTTTCAACAGGAAGACCAGTTGCTGTCCACATGGTGCCAGGAGTTTCCATTGCAATCATTGTTGTGATGGAACCTTCAGCTGGATCAAATGAGAATCATGGGACTGTTATCATCCAGCTGACCCTAGCAACTACTCCAGCATATACATCAGGATTTTCTATCAATTATCTTAAACTGTGCACAAAATATATCTAAGCTATTTTAACTGTATGCAAAGACTGTTCTGTGTACCCTTTCCTTCCTGTATATGCACAGACAGTTTCTAGAGACTATTTAAAATCTGCTGATTTATGTACAGCTTGGTCTGTTCTTACATCTGCAGCACAAACTGCCTGGGGGAGCTGGCTGGACTGACTGGATTGTTAGTGCAAGAAATTAGCCAGTACCTCTGCTCAGGTAACATCTTTCAGTTGGTCTAAGCACAGCTGTCCTGCCTAGGGGAATCTCCAAGGACCTACCCCATAACTCCCCCTTAGCTCCTGTGTTATTCCTTCATTTTTAAGCAGACCAAGAGTTGAGTCAACTGGGAGTTCAGTTATTCTGCTGAAAGTCAGTCCATTATCTCATATTTGAAGAAAGCAGCTCAGAAATTCTCAGCTTGATGGGGGGATTGCTGATGAGGTGTGCTGAGTGCACACATGGATGCTGCCCTTGCACCCAGCAGCAAGGGCTGGATGCTCCATAAAAGGAATGTGGAGGGGGCTGGAAGTGAAAGTGAGCAAGGCCAGGGCAGTTGTGCCACTGCAGCAGACCTAGTTCCATGGTACCCACATAGAAAAAGCAGAGCAGGTGACAGTGACTGATGGTGATGGTAGCCAGGGTAAGTCCAGACTAGCTCTTCATTATGTCTTCTCTAGCAGGTCCAAGGTCAAACTGAGAACTTGAGGTGGGAAGCTGGATGCAGGTCATATTGGCAGCATAGCTCAGCCAAGAGAGCAAGAGCAAGACCTAAGCTCAAAGGCACCTCTTGGGCAAAGGAGAATCTGGCAGGAATCTGCTCAGTCTTCTCACAGCTCTCTTTCAAGGCTCCACAGCTGCACTGTCAAAACTGGTCCTGAGCCCAAGCAGCCAGGTCCTCTGGAAAGGCAAGAGGCAGTCAGAGCTCTGACAGCTACATCATTCTTGTAACTGTACAGAAACCTCAAATTCCCTCCTCCTACTGCCATTATAATGTAAATTCCATAGATTCCACCAGACATACCTCTTTCTTTTGGCAAAGGATATCCAGAAGTCAGTTTTCTGTAAATTACAAAATATAAAGGAGGAGAGGTGCTATGCGCACTGTTCTCCACCCAGACCTTTACACAATAGCTAGGCAGAGCATTCAGCTGGCAAGGATTAAAAGTAAGAAGAGGTAAAGGGGGCATTTGAATCTTTTGTGTAATTGATGCATGGCTCTTGGCTGTATGTGATGTGGCACCTTGGATCCTGCTTAGATTTGTATGAATGAGATTATTCATTAAATAATGCACCTTCAGGTTACGACAGCATGCATGGAGTCTGTAAAACAGCAGACATCTCTATTCAGGCTTTGAGGTACTGATCCTGCAGTACAGGGCACTTGAAAAGGCACCAAGTTTTGGATACCACTGGTTAGATAACAGAACAAATGTCATCTGCATGTCAATTCAGACACTAAATCACTAGCCAGTAATGTGTAAAATCACTTTTGTCTGTCTTGCAGCCTGTAAAATGCATATAAAACTTCCACGACTCTAAGTTATTATTTGTAAAGAATTCTTGCAAGTAATTAATCCTTGAAAGAAAGATGTAGATATTATATTTTATTATAACTGACTCATATATAAACAGCTGCTCTGTGATAAATTGATATTTGGAAGCAATATTCTGTTCTGATAGAATAAGAAATCACTACCATGGAAGGTTCATCGTTCTGTAAATGAATCCAGATGATAAAAATCCCTGTCTTTACAGGTCAGGCAGGCACACTAACAGATACAGTTGCTGTCTAGATACCCACCAGGTTTTTATTTATTTTGCTCTTAGTTATTTTGAGGAATGATTGTGCTTCATGAAGAAGAGGAAATGCAAAGAAAGTGGAGAATACGAGGTAAGAGGACAAAAAGATGGTAATGATACGAAGAGATTAGGAGAGTGAAAACAAAAGCTGTCAGATTCTATTATTCTTCAAAAACTATGTCATTTAGGTTCACCTCTTCATCAATTTGTGGGGTTTTTTTTAGGTATTATCTGCAGCTTTGTTTTTGTTGTAGAATACCTTTCTTTGTTTCTACCAGGATGATGAATTTGTTGAGTAAAAAATCCTTCAGACTAAAATTAGATACGCTGTTAAGTTTTGCCATGCTGAAGTAAATCATTCTATTTCAGCTTGCCATTGGGATGGAACTGATGCAAGATAAAACTGAACCAAAGTCACAATACCATTTACAGTATCAGAGTAAGAAATGTTTCCTGTTTGTGTATTGACTTGCTTCCAGAATTTCCTAAATACCTATCAGAACCCTTTTTAGAGTACTCGTATGAAGATAACTTGATAAAAAATAATTTGTCGATGTTACCAAATTAGTGATTGCCATGTGGCATCTGTGTAGCATCTGTTTAACAGACTTCCTATAGGCATAATTACCAACAGCAGTTGCAACTGTCACAGTGTGTTTCAAGAGAAGAAAAGGAAGCCCGTTTGCATAAATCATCAGATGGTCTTTAAATAATTTAAATATAAAGTTCTAAACAAAGACCTTGTAAGACCTTAAAGAACTATCATGATCCTTCAGGCAGACAGCCCGCAGCTCAACAATACAACACAAGCATTCATAACAGAAACAGGGGTGTTACTTTTGTGTTCTGAATTGCATAAACAAACATGGGCCATTGATAGGGGATTATTTTTAATCCTCCTTCAATCATAAACTTTTAAATAATATGAATGTATATTTCAAAAAAAATCTTTTTAGTCTTTCGTAAGCTCTTTGTTAGGCCTATGCATCAATAAATGCTAATCTTAGAATGCTGTTTTCAGGTTTTCAGGACAGACTGCAAAATCCTGTCTCTCTGAAAGGCAAGAATAATAGACTTCATAGCACAGGTAGAGTATACTATTTATTCTTCTTTTCCATAATTCAGCCCTGAAGAATCAACCTGTTTGTTAAAAGTGTTTCAGTCAAAATGTTGTTTATAGTTAATCAAACACGCACAAAAAAGGGCAATTCAATCTCTAAATGAAAAAAAGTCCTGAAACTGAGTGAAAACAGTTTTTATTCTTAAAAACGTATAGTCAAACAAATGCCAAAAGCTCTTTGGTCACTGAAAGGCTTCGCTACATTTTTAAGTCTGTTTTCTGCCTATGTGCACTCAAGTCACAATTGTAGAGAAACATTTTGCAGTAGTGTATGCATTCTGCTCCCTTTAAAAGACTTTCTTTGTGATCTGTTTGCCAAATTATAGACCAGTGAGAAATATCTAGGATGAATAAAGGTTTATGGAAATGTAATTTGTGTTTTGGTTTTGGCTTTGGTTAGACAACCTAAGTTAGTTCTCACAAGTAACAGTCAATACAGAAGAACTTGCTATTCTAATCTGGAAATTAGCTAATAAAAGTTAGCCAAGAATGCTAAAATAAGACCCAGCTTGTTTTTTAGTACATATGCTAAATATACATAAGGAGGTAATTTCTGTGTTTAAATGCTGGCAAAGAGCCAGAGATAGTCCTTGTGATCCTAGTCCCTGTGAGATTGTATGGCGGTATTGTACATCTGACTGTTTGACAGTTATGCTTTCTGCTTCAGAGCTGTATTATACCAAGTTCTGAAGTTTCTCTCCTGTGTCCTCAGGAGAGAAACATGCACAGGTTCATCTGACTTTTAGCTGCTATGATGCTCAGATAATGAAGCTATGTGATTAAATGAAGTAAGGAGCGTTCCATGCAATCTTGACTTAGTAACAGAATAAGAGAAATGAGCTCCAGGGTGATAAGAGTGTCAGGAATGACAAAGAAATATTTCATAACTGATGTAGTTAAAAAAAGTTTTCTTCATAGGATACAATAAAAAAGGTTTGTAAAAATGAGTAAACCCACATAGTAGAGAAAGTGCTGCAGTAGGGCTAGTATCTGGCATATTACTTCCCAGGGGAATGGATGAAAGCACAGATTTCTCCTCCTGCTATTCTGGCTGTTGTTTGAGTGACATATACAGAACTACCGAGAGCAGGCCGTGGAGATGTGCAGAACTGTTGCTGTATCTCAGGGTTCACACGCAGGAGATAGTGCCAAGTGTAGCATGCCATATTCCCTAGCCTGTTTGGCAGTCTACCAGGTAGGCTAACTACAACATTCCAGGTCAGTTGTGGACATCTGATGGTATATCAAAGGTTTTTGAAGTTTCATATTTTAATCACCTAAATTGATTATGTGGATTTTACTTTTTGTGTTTGTGTAAGTTTTTTAAAAAATATTTAAAGGTAATTCTCCTGTGTATGTTTTGCTCTTGCCAAATACATTTTCAGTGTCATGAATCTTTGGCCTATGTATCAAAATCAAAGTAGATTAGAACCCAAGCAAAACTGCAGAAATCCCAACAAAGCATTACCAAGTTGAAGTTTGCAACTCAAGAACATCTTTGTCAAATCACTAATGCGAATACTCTTGACAGTAGTGACTGTATGGTGAAGTAATTAAATAGCACTAGGATAACTGTTGTTTTAAAGTGATATGGAGTTCTTTGCAGGAAGTACTTTTTCTGTTGTCAAGAAATCATTTAAATAGTAATACTGCTTACCCTTTCTTCTTCATTAAGGCCCAAATAGAAAAGCTATTGCAGCTGATTACTATTCTTTTACTACAATTCATATGCTGCACAAAGGAACTCAAAGGGATAGTTTTCAGAGCACTGATGAAACCGGATGATTCATCTAATTCAAGGTGTGCTTTTAAATAAAACCTTATAATTTTATGTAGTAATATAAACCTTCTCAACATACAGAAGATTAATTTCATTATCAATAGTCATTTATGGGATATGGCTGTAGAAAAGATGGAAGGTATTTACCATATTTACCTATATTACCAAATTACCAATTTACCTATATTACCAAATTACCAATTTACCTATATTACCATATAGGCACAGGGTTTCTTTCAAGAGGATGGATTGCCGCAGAAAATACATGGACTCAGAGATCAATATGATCAGACAAAAGCTGTTTATTGCTAAGCCTTAACTCCTTATATACTGTTTCTTACATGCACTTACAGTGATTTGGCATATTATGATTGGATACATGTCTTGAAGACCCTTAGTGACTAACATATAATTGGTTAAGCACAGGTGTGAGAACTTAACCTTGAAAGCTTGCCAACAGTCCACAGTTCTCATAACTCAGTGAATTCCAGCTTCTTCTTATCTTGCTTGTTTAGGCTTCCTCGGGCCTCTCATGGCCTTGCTGTATCTTTCGGGAGTATTCAGAGTTCATGTACCAAATATCCATTCTCCTGTGAGAACACTGTCTCCACAATGGATAGAGGAAAGAACACTTTGGAAAATACAATACAAAAAATCAAGAAACACAGAAAGTACTAAAAGGTATTTTGTACTTCTTAGCATTGAATAATTCATGTTGGATATAATCTCTTCCTTAAAGCACAGACAACTCAGATGTTGGATAACTTGGTCAGGATCTTGCTCAGCTGAGTTTTAAGTATCTTTAGGAATGGAGATTTGTCTATGTCAGCTTTTTTAAGAGCAACCTTTGCCAGTATTTAATACAGATTATTTTGGAATTTAGGAAAAAAAAAAAAAGTGTTGGACTTTTCCTTCATGTAACTTGTGCCTGTTGACCTGCACCCCTTTTTAGGATTAAATTTATAGCTTGGTGTTCATCATAGGCATAAACTAAAATATTCTGGACAGAAAGGAAATATTCTGATTCTTCACAGCACAGCTTCAACCCTTTCCTGTGGGGAATGCTGGTGCTGGCTCCTTCTGAATCCCACCCCCCTCATTTCTGGAAGTCCCACTGCTCTATTATTTTTTGAACATAGGGTCCTTGTGTCTAGAAATTCCCTTTCTTTGGGGGTAAACAATTATCAGCTGGCAAGTTTTTTTGTATAGAGGAAAAGAAAGGTCTTAAAAGAAGCATGAAGAAATAGGCCCCCAGCAAATCTGGGTTGCCACTAAAAGATTCCTTGTGCCAAAATGGGAAGCTTTACACACTTCATACTTTATGGGGCATGTATGAACAGGATAAAGAAAGAGTCAGGAGAGCCCTGGAAATCTTCCTCCCTCTTTCAAAACTCCATGACAGAGGGGAAAATTTGGTTGTATAATTTTGGCAGCTCTAGTCAGAATACAAATAAAATTGTATTGACTGCTGGATGAAAGCAATTCTAACATATATGAATGTACAGAGAAGGAGTTAAGTTCGCCTTTATGAAATGCATAGTACTTCACTGTGGCGACTGAAACAGTACAAATAAATGCAAGTAATGATAATGAGTCTATATACTTCCCACGTGGAAGATTTTAAAAAGATAGGGCAGCTCAGATGATGATGTCTTCTGCATCAGATGGTATTTTATACTAGCTGGATCATTACACTACAGCAAATTTTCTCTTTAAAAAGTTATTGCTAGAAGAAATTATTTTCTTCTTGCTCCTTTGGTGGATTTACAAGATATTATTATAATAAAACTTTATTTCTAGACACAGTGATGTTTATTGGGCTTTTGAGTTATCAAGAAAGCAATAGAGTGGATAAGAAGAGAAGTGGTTTCAATCTATTTGCTATTGACTTGAAATTCGGAAAGACTTGGATTCTGCTACCAAAAGGTATTGGATAACGGGTTTATCTAACATCCATTTTCTTTCTACTTAAACTATTTAATCTCTTAATTCCTTAGGGAATTCCTTAGCAGAGTTAGCTTTTCTTGCAGTTTTACATAAATGTTTAAATTGAGGATGTTTGATCTTACACTATTACTGAATAATAATTCTCATAGTCACAGGCTTAAAGGTATGGAAATAAAGGATCTTATAGTTAGCAAGTCTTGATTTTACATATATATAGTATTTTACTTACTTGTAATTCTGTTTAAAAATACATTATTTTTTTTTGTACATTACTCTCTGATTCATTGCACATTATGAAGTACTTTAATAATAAATTCAGTTTAATTTCTCCTAAAATCATACATACTTCTTTAATGACATGGTAAAGAAAACATAACCAGGTAAATATGGCAGGAGATATTCTGACAGATAAAAGAATGTGATTACAAAACCTAATAAATATCGTATCAGTGATAAATAACGCAACAGTGGTTTCAGTTGGATGGTTTTCTAACTTCTACAGTGTGCCTTGAAATGCAAACAGCAGAACAATTATTTTTCTTCTGCACTAGTTTTTTATTGATCATAGGTAAATTTGTGAATACATGGGTCACTTTTGTGAGGAGGAATGCTTTTTTGGGGTTGTTATTTTTCCCCTGGTATTACTCTGGATTCTGACTTTATTCTGGCAAAAAACCTAACTGATTGGTTTTATTTTATACCAGACCAAACACTGAAACCTAATAACAAAATCAGACTAAAACTTATTTAATGGGTTTTTCATCAGTGTTTGAATGAACACATTACCTCTTCTAAATTAAAGAGCTGACAGAATCACACTTTGGTACTTTGTGATCTGCGGAAATGTAGTTAGAGTCTTAGTACAGTTGCTTTCACTAAGGCAAGATCAAATGTGTACAGAACATACTGTACACTTGTTTGTCCAACCACTGAAAATAACTCAGAAGCGGGAGATTCCACAGGCACCACAGATAATGTGTTACACTGCCCTAGCAAACGGAGAATGCTCCCCAGCTGTAATAAAGAAGAGTTGTTAGAGGTTACTAAGGAAAACTGTGGAATCTCTTTCATAGATGTTGTCATGAGAATTTAAGCAAACATTTGCCAAGGATGGAGCAGATACACGTGATCTTATAAAGCAGGTTGCTAAAACGGATATCCAGAAGTCCTTTTCCTCTGAGGTGCTCTGAATCCTTGTTTTCATGTGTGTAAAGATAGTGGGTCTTTTTAGTAACAATACAAAGGAAAGATTTGTACTGTATATTTGAGAAAAGCTAGAATATGGGTTTCCTAGAGTCAGAAAGATTCCTTAATATAGACTGTGAGGTATATAGGAATGATTCGTGTCAGAAACTCTTAAATCAGATCATGGCCAAGACAGAATTTTTATAACATAGACAACAATAAAATAGCTTCTAAATCAGCTGTTACATCTTTGTATGGTCAACTGCTGCCTTGTGGACTCCCTGGGGCTGGACACTTCTATGATTCAGCTGGACAGGGTGCTGGGACATCCAGTTTAGGTCACATGTTGCCAAGAAAGGTTGGACCAGGTGGTCCTTTCAAACCTGGTATTCTATGATTCTATGATTACTAGACTTACCTTAGAAAGTAATCACTGGCAAAAATATTAAATGAAATATTTACTTTTTTTCCCTGCACTGCAGTTTATTATTCAGGGTTTGGCATTTTCACTGTTGTGACGATACATCCCATACAGGTATGCACAGACCGTATGTGTTTATGCTATAGCCCAAGTTTCATTTGAGTGGCTTGTGTTCTTTAAGAAACTGTTTCTACGATACACTATGTTAACAATGGCTCTAGCAAAGGCAGTTAAAAAGCAGATGGGGTGTGGTTTATTTGCTTTTCTTGCAAGACTGTCTTTCCTTCTCCTGCATGATACATTAACAAAAACAAACCACAACTGCACTTGCCCATAGGCAATTCTTTTAACATGCAAAACACTGGAATTGAAAGGGCTTCTATTCCCCAGTGAGAAGCCCTATTCGCCAGCATTACCTCATCCAAAAATGTCCATGTACGGATTTCTTGGGGGTTTCCCCAAGCCCTCAATCCAGCTGAAGGCAAGTACCTTTTTGCCAAGGAATCAAGCACGCTGTCTTTATATTTGGACAGGCTGGGGCGCCCCGTCTCCAGGCTGAAAGGTCACACCTAGGACGCGCCCCGAGCGCCTCCGGTCACGGTAACCACCTCCTCTCTCGGGAGAGGCTATTGTGCCAGGCACTGCACCTCGCGGGGTGGAACGGGGCTTCGCTCATGCTTGCGAGGCAGGGGCCCCCGGGCCAACCTGCAGTCACTTCAGCGGCCTCCAGCGGTCACCCGCCGCTCGCCCCCCGCCGACCGGACAGGGGCTCTCTCCCTGACCCGCGACGACCAGCAGCGGCGGCTGGGAGGGACGGCACGGCGCTCCTAGCTCCCGCCTAGCTCGGCGGCGGGCACCATGCTACAGCACAGGGAGTCCTGCGGCGGGCGGAACCTGAGCTGCCATTGCCGCCACCTCAGGGTAGGCCCGGCCCAGGTCTGGGTCTACTACCCAGGCACCATCACCACCCCCCCTCACCCGGACCCCGCCGGGGCCTCTCGCTGTTGCCACCCCCACGCTTGGCCCCCCCCAGGCGCCGCGCGGAGGGCACGAAAGCCGCCGAGCTTGGCCCCGCCCCTGTGCGTCACGGGCTGCGGGGCGCCGATTGGATGCGGCGGCCGCCTCTCCCCCCCCTCCTGGCGCGGCGGAGGGTGTCGCACTCGCTTTTCACCGTTCTCGTTTGAAATTCGGCCCAAGATGGCGGCGGCGGCCGGGAGCGGGGCTGAGGCGGCAGCGGCGGCCAGGCTGAAAGGGGCGGAGGAAGAGGAGGAGACGGCGGCTGCGGCGGAGGAGGATGAGGAGGACAGGGAGCAAGACTGCAGCCGGTCTGGCAAGGCAGTGGGTGCGGTGGCAGCGGCCGGTGGGGAGAGTGAGGAAGAAGAGGAGGACGAGGACGGAGAGGACGTGGATGTGTTCGAGGTGGAGAAGATCCTAGATGTGAAGACCGAAGGGGTAAGTGCGCCGTACCGCCGCCGGTCAGCAGGGCCGGCGGCTGCCCCGGGGCCGCGTTTTGCCGCGCTCCCCGAGGAGGCGCGCGGGAGGCGGGAGCGATTGCTACCCTGGTGCGCCTGGCGTGCTCCGCGCTCCCCTCAGTGCCGGGCGCGCAGGCGGAGCAGGCAGCGCCGGCTCAGGCAGCTCTGCGGGCCGGCTTCCCCACACGAGTCTTGTTTACTTAGGTGAAAACCGTGGAAAACAGTGGCAGTTCCGTTATAACTGTAACTTCAGCCACGTTGTGCATAATCTTGCAAGGAAGCTTTTTGTGTCTTACAGCTTTGACTAAAGCGACTAGATCTGGAGTAGCTTTAGTAAATTGTTTTGGGTTTTGGTTTTTTTTTTGCTTGTACTGTTACTCTTTGTTCTTATGGCTGAACTGCAGGCAGTAGTGTTTTAGGGTAAGGTGTGTGTGCGCAGAAATGGGCAGGGTTTAATATATTGTAGAACTTGCATGTGGTTTCAGTGTATATTTAGTGAAACTGTTTACTCACAGAATGTGTAAAGACCTCTTAAAATAAGAGATACTTCCTTCAATTAAAATAACTGGCTGTGGTGATCTTTGCTTTTAGATAGAAGATATCATATAATCTCTTATTTCTTCAAAACATCCTAGACAGGTGGAAGATTTTGTGAAATCTGTTAAACCTCAAATACAAAAAATAAGTATCACAGTTGTTGGGGGGGGATTAATGATTTCATGCCTAAAAATTTTTTAGTTTATGGTTTTTATTTTATGCTTCAGTCGGGTACATGGTATTGTAGAATTCTGTCTGTTTAGTGTAAGACATAAGGGTTTCAAAACTATTAGATGGAAACCCTTCAGATCAACAATTTCTTAGATTTTTTGTGATGCTCTCACGGTTAGGTTGTATCTTGGGTAAAGTATCTTGATGGCTTAAGAATCTTGTGCTTTTGAGGTAATACAGGACTTACAGCTTCGTCTCTATGAAGTGTTGGTCAAAATGGTAAGTCAGGGGTGAAAGCAAGAGGACTCCTCTTCCCTACCCCTTTCCCCTGCAGTGGAACCTAAAATGTGGAGGCGGGTGTGTCATCAAACCATTCCACACTGTATTCCCATTCTGCAGCAGGTTCTGAGCTGTATGCACTTGAGGCTTCCAGGCTGGGTCAGTGTAGTTAGCTTTACTGTATGTGTGAGCCTTGCACTGTATTACATGTGCCTCACCCAGTCTGTGTTGGTTGTAGCTTTGTAGCATGGTTCACCTTTCTGTTGCTCTCTGAGGGCTGTGCCCCTGTGTTTCGGAAACACAGGACAGATACCTGCTCCCAGATCTTCCAAAACGTCTGGAAAAAGCTGTGTGTTAGGTTCAGTGAAACGTATTTTATGTAGTTGGCTTTAGACTAGTGGTTCCCAGCTTGCAGGTTCCCAAGTCTGATCCAAAGTCCAAGCAGGTACACAGCCACTGTCCAGCACAGTATGTTCAGCTGAACAGCACAGGCTGGTCAATATGTTCATGTTTCTCAGTTGCAGAAGCAAGCTGGAGAGCTGGAGAGCATTGCACAGAGAAGGTCTCTTCATTTGCAGTCCTGATGTTGGCTGGAGCTGGTAATAGTGGCAGCGTGAGAGAAAGCACCTGGGATGTATTGGCTTGGGGAGTTAGACCTACTGATAAATGAAATGTTAACATGGCCTACTAAAGAAAGCATCATTTACAGCCACCTAGTCTTACAGTTATTTTAATCCAGCTGTCCCAGTTAATTAAAAAGACTTCTAACTCATTTTGTACCTGACTTACAAGGGTGTAACAATAACTCTGCAGCTGACTAAAGTCTTGCATCTGAACTGGCATAACCTGGTACCACCAGGCAGATGAGAGGCCAGCTGGCTAGGAAGCAGATTTGTAGGAAAGGAACTGTGAGTTCCCACAGACAAGTAAGATGAGCATGAGTCAGCCTTTCTTGCAGGAGGAAGGCCAACAGCATCCAGGAGTGTGGCCAGCAGATCGAGGGAGATAATTCTTCCTTTCTTCTCAGCACTGCTGAGGTGCATCGTGAGTAAGGTGAACATAAGCTGGAACACAGGGAAATCCAAATAGGCTGGACAGATTTCTAAGCAGCCTGATCTAGTTGGTCCTGCTTTGAGCAGGGCATATTACTTCTTAGTTCCAGAGATTCCTTATAACCTGAATTATTCCGTGACTGTATTAAGAAAGTTACTAGTTATTTATTTCATGAGTAACCCCATTACGAGAAAGAGAGATATGAACATGATTTTGAAAGGTAATTCGGAATTGTGAATCAGGAGTGTATGGTTAGTGCTAAATTATAAAAGAGGTAATATTATACCATTGTATACCATTATCTATTCATCTGTGAAGTAAATACAGAAGATTGTAAGTGGAGTTGATTGCTAAAGTTTAATGGCATATATGACATTTGGTCAAAGGTTAATAATGCTTAGGCAAAAATGTAAATTTTTGGATATAAATACGTTTAATAATAAGAGTGAAATGGCAGTTCTTTCGAAGCTTTCCTTTTCCAGGCTTGGTTAGCACTATGACATCTCTCAGAACATTTTCAACCTATTTTTGAAAGAAAGAGATACTGCTGTTTTCCTCTCTAGAGGTGCTTTCTGTAGTACATTTACTAATTTATTTTTTTTTAATAAGTTCAGGAATGGCTCTATTGCCTTGTATTCATTGTTAGCTTTTCTTTTTTTTTTTTATATGGATAATGGATGTCCTTAAATTTGGTGCTAGCTTTTTTCATAGATATGTTTAACAAGATGGCAGGTTTAATTACTAAAGGTGACAGCACTGATTTTGTCTGGTGTATCTCTGCTTTTCAATTAAGCTTGATGCAGGAGGCCATTCAGTGAGAAAAGTAGTACATCTGGATAAATGTAAGGATTCATACTACTTTATTCAGGAAAAAGGCAAGAGATAATTTGGTGGGAACCTTTTTTTTTTTTTTTGTTGCGTTATTTATTATTTTTTAATATGTAAATAACTTTCTAATGTAGTGAAAAAAAGAAGCTAGAGACTAAAAGGTGCAATTTCATCCCATGGTGGAGTCGAATACTGTTGAAACAATTGGTCTAGGGCTTTTGTACATAATCTTTTACCAAAATCTTTGTAATTAACTCCACTGAGATGCACATGCTTGGATTTTATATAAGTTTAACTTGATCCTTGATCTCATTGCTGTTTGGTCTTCCCCTCCACCAGTTGTTGATATTTCAGTTTATCAAGAGCGAAATCTAACGTAAGTTATAAATTTCAATATAAAACTAGGTGAATGATGTTAATGTGTTATCTTTTACATCAGCTTCTTCAGCAACGAAATTCAAGGTTGCAAATATTACAGAAGAAATATTAAACTTTTTTGAAGTTTCTTAATGTCCAGAAAATCCATTTCAGTAAAATAACTGGGAATTTATGATTGTAACTGTGGTTCTGAACAAGTTTTAGATATTGCAGATATTTTGGATAAAACTACTCCCACCTACTGAAGCATTTTACAGCCTACTTAGTTCAGTATGTGATGCAGATGGAAGTAATTTTGGGAATTCTTATGTCAACATTGGGTTGAACTCCCATTCATTTCTATATACACAAAATGAATATGCAATGAATGTGCAACCCCAGGGGTTGAGCAGATGGTGCAATCCTGTGAATGTTGTATTAAATGTTTCTTTGGTTTTTTTCTTACAGGGCAAAATTCTCTACAAAGTACGGTGGAAAGGATATACTTCTGATGATGATACCTGGGAACCAGAGGTTCATTTAGAAGACTGCAAGGAAGTGCTGCTTGAATTCAGCAAAAAAATTGTGGACAGTAAGCCTAAACCTGTTAAAAAAGACATACAGGTATATTTCACCTTCCAGTATCTTACACTGAAGGCATATTCCCTATCTAGGCTCTGCTGATGGTGGGAGGGAAAAGAGAAAACATTTAGGATGTGGAATTAAGAAGACTTAAAAGAATCTCTGCTATCAAAGTGGTTTTTCTCATGTGAAACTGAGTATTGTTGCTGCTCTCTAGTTAGTGTTGGGTTTTTTTTGTTAATCTGCAAGTTTGCTTGTAGACTCAAAATCCATCTAAAATTTATTTCAGCTTTTAATAGGACTATGTACGTGATGTATGATCATTTTAGTTTGTTTTTGACAACATAACCCCCTTTCTCTATCAACATGCATATTGTCTTGTCACTGAAGCTGGATGCTGCACATTTCACCCTCCTGCTTTGTGTAGGACAATGATGAATTTTTGCATGTTAACCATTTAATTCAATGAGATATGAGTACAGAAAAAGTAGTTGCAAGAAAGCAGTATTTGGCTTTTTTCCTTGTTACCTGCATCAATTTGAAAATGAAGCATAAGTTTGGATTTTTTTTTTAAACTGGTACTCTTATTTTTGGGAAACCTATAGGTAAATTTTACAAAATCAGATTAATAGTGTTTGGTGTAAAATAGCTCAGATTTAGTTCTGTTCTGGAATCTAGTTGTTGGATGTCCAGTTGGTTTACTTGAATTGTGTATGTATTGATTCTCATGCAAGCAGTTAGTAATGTAATTTAGGTGAGCTAGAATTGTATTTACAATTTTACGATTTGGCAATGAGAAATGATGTTGGCAGTGATAAAAAGATTAAGGTGTTTCAAAGCTTACTTACCAAGCATTGCCACTACCATTTTTGTATAGTTTACACCAAAGTTATACAGTTTAATGGGGAAACATTTTCCTTTTTTTTCTCTACCTTTCAGAAACTATCTCTAAATGATGATGTATTTGAAGCAGACTCTGACAGTGACTGGCAAGGTGAAACAAAAAGTGATGTTTCACCTAAGAAGAAAAAGAAGAAGTCAAAAGATGGAGAGGATCGGAGTTCAGGTGACCTGAAGAAGAAAATGTGTAAGTCTGCAAAAGTTAAAGAAAAACCCAGAACAGAATGTGAAAACTCCTCGGATACTTCGGTTTTAGATTCAAAACCAAAAAAAAGGACTTCAGAAACCAAGGAGGATTCAAAGGACCCAAAGAAACAAAGGAAGGAAGATACTAAAGAAGTCAAGAAAAAGAAGGGAGAGGTTAAAGATTTAAAGATAAATTCTAAAGAAGATTTTAAAGAAAATAAAAAGTCACAGAAAGAGAAGGATGGAGATGTTCAGTTTGGCTCAGAGTCAGGTGTTATAGATGATGTATTTTCTCAAGGAACTGATAATGAAAATTCAGACTTAAATGCTGAAAATAAAGATGAGAAGCAAAAATTTGTAAGTGGAGAAGATAAATTGGAACAAGAAACTGCTGAAAAGGATTCCATTGTTGATATGCATCTTGCTGGATCAGCAAGTAATGAAGATGATAGTATTGATGATAAGGTTAAAATTAAAAAGAAAGTAATTCTGAAAGCTGAAGATTATAAAGAGGAAGGTAAAAAAGTGGAAACTCAGGATACCTATTTAGAGAACAAAAACATGCACAAAAAGCAAAAAGGTCAAGAAAAAGTAAAAATTGAAGAGTTGGACAAAGTATCACCTGCTGCTTCACCAGTGCAGAAGGGTTTAAAATTGAGCTTTGACGAAAGGGGATGCAAGTCCACTGATTCAGCTGTGGAGGTAAGCAATGTTAAGGCTTTGAGTGGAGGGGGGCAGGGCTGAGGGTTAAGTCAAACATTTTTGAGGTATAGATCTCAAAATGCTACTCTTTTGTGATGGCAAAGAAAAACAGATTAGAAAGTTAATGAGCTGGATGAAGCTAAAGAAAGGCCCACTGTGCAATGTATAGAGTGACTGAAAAATTTCTGGATTCTGAACACTATAAAGGAGGGACTACTTGCAGGGGGTAGGGTGTCTTTAAATGTGAAAGTATGAATTTCTCCTGTTTGTTATGTGTATTTAGTTAGAACGCAATTTACTGTTCCTCTAAAACATGCTGTCATTTTGAGCTTTGTTCCCCCCACCTTGAAAAGTTGCATTAGACTTTTTTCTACTTGTGTAGTAAGATATTCAATGTTGAACAACTATCCATCCAATACCGAACAATAAAGTGTGCTTTTGAACTAAACCGAACAATTGATCTCACTTAAAAGCCAGTAACTCTTTTATACCTTATGTGCATTAGCACCTCCCTGAGAATTGGAATGCTGAAATTGCTTCTAGACACAAGTCTCCCAGGTAATTGTGCGGCTGGCTTGTTTTGTTAAAGTTCCTGAGGTGCTTACAGAAAATGCTTAGTTTCATGACATGGTTTCATGTTAATTACAAATGCTGTACCTGGTCTAAGAAATGAGCTAAGCCAATACTGGAATATTTACTTTTCCTTATTGAACACAGTAGTGTTTTAAGAAATGATGGTAAAGGTAAAACAAACAAAAACAACAAAAAAAAAACACCCAAACCCCAAACAACCCAACACAACCCCCCAGGGTTTTTTTATGTTTCTGAGAATACAATTTTTTCAGCTTCTTCAGACTGTTCTTATACATTTTGCAGTTCATAAAACTTCGGCTGCTCGAGAAACTGCATTCTGATTCAAACAGGATTGCAGCTAGAAAACCTTGGATCTTATCCCATTTCTTTTAAGGCCGTAATTCCATGGCAGCAAGTTTCTTCTGTAGGTTCAACTGCGGTCCTGTGCTTTAGATGATCTACTCCATTCATACAGCAATCTTAAAACATAAGGAATTTGATTCTGAGATAGAGAATTATGTGGCATGATCTCACAGTAGAGCTGTCAAAATAGTGTTTTTGCAGGAGCATAGTGGTAAAAGCTTCGGTAAACAAGGTTAAGTGATTACTGTGAGGCATAGCCCAGTTTTTAAAAGTTAAATAATTGAAATGGCCCTTTATTACTCAAGTATTTTTTTAAATTTCTTGTAGTTTGAGCCTATAGCATTCATAAGAGAGGCATCAGATATGATAATCCGATAAATCTTTGGAATTTTATTTACCAGTAGTATAAAATCCTGTCACCCCAAACATGAAGAAATAAACAGCAGATGCAAATTGGTTTCCTTATGGCTCTTCGGCCAGCACTCTCAGTATGTTGTCAGTTGTCTTTCTCATGGTTGTGCTCCATCGAAGGTCATGCTACAAGGTACCAAGGAAGGCATTCTGCCTCTTTGCTTTTTTCAGTGAGGTTGTTTTATTTTGGAAAGAACCTTTTCTCTTATGGAATAATCCTTCACAGACTTAACTCCTGACTCACCTGTTTTATTCTTTTTTTCGGAATGTCCTCATGTTTTACATGCAGGTTTCAATAATATTAATTTTAAATATATTTTATCACTGGAGCGGTGAAATGAGTTTATTTTCCATTTTTTTCTTTACCGCTTTAATTTTATCTTTGTCCTTAATATCAGGAGAAAGAAGTAAAGAAAATTGAAACAAAAGAAAAACCTCAAAAAGAGCCCGAAAAAGAAGAAAAAAGCAGAAAAGAACAAAAGGGCCTAAAAAGTAAGTGCTAACTGGTTAAAAGAGAGAAGGGAGAGACCCTTCAGGACATTCTCTTATTTCTGCAAGAGGGGTTATATTATGATTTTGAAACACATACCAGAAACAAGAATTTCTGTCTTTATTTTAGGAAGCAGAAGTCTCCTTTCTAACGGCTTTTTCAATATATGCTTTATGAGAATGTTGTACATACTTTAATGTATGAAACATGGAAGTGTATAGAAATCTCTAAGGTTTTGTAGACAAGATTTTTCCCTTTTTCATTTAATAGTTAACTGCTTCTGTGGCATGTAACTGGTCTTTCTCTTTTTTTAGAGGAATTTGTGCAACTATTGCATATTTCCAGAAGTGTTCTGATGATACTATGAATACATACATTCTGTGTTTAGAAAAACTAAGAGGTTCCTAAACTTCTTGCCTCTTGCTTTAGACACAGTGATGAGTTACGTTGTACAACCCTTAAAATACCACCAGAACTGGATGATTTGATACATGAAGGAAAATTTCTAGGTTATATTTCTATTCATCATAGGATAATGGAGTATTAATGTTACCACTCTTGATCTCAGTAAAATTCTAGGTGATTTTATTCAGGATTCACTCACTACTCTAATGAGGATTAACTGAGGAAAACTAGGAAACTCCACCTTTGGTGATCATGAATGGATATAGGAGGAGCTATGATGCTTCAAGTAGCTGTTGCTAGGTAAACATCTTTTGTTGAAAGTAGCGTAGATGTTCACAATGCATAAGAAAAGTAGTAGCAAACAGAATAATTAATTGTTGTTCCTTATACAGCATGTGTCCTTCATCTGTTCATCGCAGAGACTGAACTGTGTTTTCAAAGTAGTGGTTTATGCATAATTTTAAACTACATTTCTTTAAATGAAGATGGTACCGGGTTGAAAGCAGTCAGCACTCAGACTTGCCAGGGTAGCTGGAGATTAACTGTTGTCCCTGATTTTTGGCTTGTTCAGCTTGCTCCTACACTTCAGCAGTGATTAACTTATGGAAAGAGAACAGCCGTTTTCTAAAGGGACTCTGGTCACTCACTTAAACTTTGTTATGTAATAGTCTTTAGCGGCTCAAGTGGTCAGTCTTGGTGACTGTCTTAATATTCTAGACTTTAAAGACATCAAAAGTGCATTTGACTTTTTTAATGTAGCTTCAGAAGAAAAAAGTGAATATTCTGAGAATAACTGCAAAAGAGAAGAATCTTCGCTAGAATATAAACTCATAGAAGAATTAAAATCAAAAGACAGCGAGGTGTACAAGGAAAGGAGGAACGTAAGAGATGAAACAGACACATGGACTTATATTGCTGCAGGCGGTGATCGAGAAATAGTGGATGTGTGTCAAATGGAGAACTCTGGTGAGCAGTAGAAACGAATACAGGGGAAAGCTGAGCACTAGCAATTAATATATTCCTCCATTCCTGCTTGCATCTCTTTGTGCTCCAATCCTTGTCTCTGCAGGGGGCTGAAATGATGTTTTCTTTTGAAACTCACCAGTAACTTCTTGGTATGTTTCCAGTGTGTTTCTGCTACTGCAGTAATGGAGTGTTCACCATCTCTTACCACTTCAACAGAATCTGTTAGAACAACTAAACAGTTTGTTTGAAGTAAAAGCATTTTATGTCTGCTTGTAATACAGCCTTCTTTGTTTGAAATCATTCCACACTGACTTTCAGAGTATGTTTGAATGAAAAGTATGTTATGCTGCTGATCATTGAAGCAATGGCAAGCAAAGAATGATTTGGAAGTTTTTAAGTTGCTAATTACTTATTTCACATTTTTTCTTCCATAAAATCAAATGCATCATAGATGGCAAGCAACAAGTCTTGAGTTTGGGTATGGACATGCAGTTAGAATGGCTGACACTAGAAGACTTTCAAAAGCATCTTGATGGAGAAGATGAGAATCACGTGTCAACAAAACCGATATCAAATAGTGAGTAGTTGCTGGAAGGAAGGGACATATCTTAATTAGTGTTTCAGAGTGAACTGTCTTATAACTGAACCAAATTTACCTTCTAGCTCTCCTGAGGGATGCTGTTAAAAGTGGAGATTATATGACAGTAAAGATGGCACTTTCCTCAAATGAGGAATATAATCTGGATCAAGAGGTAATTTTTCTGCAATAGAAGTATTGGAGGGGTATGGGAGGGAAGAGTATGAATTTGGATTGTTTGAAAAGCTTTCTCCTCTTGCTAGTAGCAGATTTCTGTCTCGCCTTGAGTTCAAGTGGCCAAGCTATGTAAAACGTCTATACATGAAAAAAATTTGAATGTTCTATTTGACAGACTGGGACCACTTAATTCCGTTAATTATTAATTTTCTGCCAGCTCTGTATCAGCTGTGTTCTTACAGTTTGGTTTGGATTTTTTTTGTTCTTTTGTTTCTTTTTTCCCCCCAAGGATAGATTTTTCCCATTAAATAGCACCATAGTTCTATTTTTTTAAGATAAAAATCTCTGATGCCAATATTTTCAACTGGTGACCTTTTGAAGTTGCATTACATAGCATTTTGAGAACTATATATTATGCTAAGTTTTCTGTAGCCTAGTAGAAAAGATGCCACATGAACTACTGAAGCAAATGTGTTCTTTGAATTGTAGTGTCTGGTGGGAAAATGTAAGAATGAGTGAGGAGACTGGCCACCCACAGAGCTCTCTTCATACTTGCACTGATAAAATCCAAGAGTTCTAGTAGCAGCCGAGTTGAGCCTTTATGTTTTGTCTCCAGTGGTTGCTGATTTCCACTGTCTTACTGTTTTCTTACCCTCAAATACCCTGCTGCATTTCTTCCTGGCTCATTCTGGTTTTACTCTTTCTTATTCTGGTCCTCAGACTGTTACGGGTTTTGCAAATTACAGAGCTCAGGGTGTGAGACCTGTGGACTGGAAAAGTGGGAGGTGATAGTCTGCTAGTATCTGGCAGCTGTGTATGTGTGAATTCTGCCAGGGAGGGGAATCGTTGTGAAGTCTGTTGACACAGTTGCCGTTTTTGTCTTGCAGCTTTGGTTTACCTTAAAGTAATTGATTTTTAGAATTTCTCATGGCAGTGATTCTTGTTGCAGGACCCAAGTGGAATGACCCTGGTAATGCTTGCTGCTGCTGGTGGGCATGATGACCTTCTCCGGGTCCTAATCAGGAAAGGAGCTAAAGTAAATGGGAGACAGAAAAATGGAACAACTGCATTGATACACGCAGCTGAAAAGGTTGCCTTTGTTATTGTTGGTTTTGTAGCTCTTGGCTCTTTTACTTCAGTTTAAAAGTGGTACACACTTTTTTTTTTTTTCCTTTGGATGGTGCCTAAAAAGTAGTTAGCAGGATATAGCAGGGTGACCTTAACTGCATAATGTCAGCAGCTGTGGTTACTGTAGTGGAAACTAATTCTGATCACAAACCCTACCCTGGGTAGAGAATATCACAGGGTTACTGAGAGGAAATGTAGAGGCAAAGGGTAACTCTGAATTTCTCTGTCATGGGGCTGAAGTTCTTGAGTTAGAATTGGTAGCTATGATCTCTGGCTGCCCAGGATGCAAACTTGGGAGACTTCAAGAAGCAAATCTCTGAATAAACAGGGTGTACTGTTTGTGAGTTAGGAGATGGAGATAGTGGCAAGCTGTTCTCAAACTAAGACCAGCTAGTAAGTTAGAGGATCTCTTATGGGTGTGCTCTTTTGTTGAAGCTGGGTCATGTGTTTTCCCATGTGCAGTAGATAAAAAAGCCAAGAAGGAGCTTGACTCCAGTGTTTTCTTCCTGTGGTGGTCACTGTTGAAGGTTTTAGGAAAAAAGTATGAATTGTAAGTACTCATGGCTGTTCACTTGCCTGAGTCTGAATCGCTTATTAGCCACAAAAGAGAACATTGGTAATCGTGTCACAGAAGCATGCTTCGAATTTTCCTGGTGGATTTTAAATAAATGTCATTTTATATTCTGAAACAAAACCAGAATATTTTGTATTTACCTGTCTTGTGGTATTGGGGTTTTGTTTGGATTTTTTCCAGAATTTTCTAACGACAGTAGCTATTCTACTGGAAGCTGGCGCGTTTGTGAACACGAAGCAGAGCAGTGGTGAGACTGCTTTAATGAAGGTGAGTTCAGTGTTTGTCCTGACATGATTTAATGGTAAATACGTTTGGCAAATTAGTAAAACATCAAAGCATATTTGTAGAGTTAGTTTAGGGAACGTGTACTATATTTGCAATACAAATACTACCCTTAGTTACTCTAGGCAGTGTTTTAATCCATTGTTTTAATGTATTGTTATATCTAAACAATAAGTGCAGATGTTGTGCTAAATGTAGCTCATCATCCAGTTCCATGTGGATGTGGTCTTAAAACTGAGATAATCTGGTTGTCAGCAGGAAAATTCTGGAAAGGGAGAGTCTTTCATTTAGGTGTTGCTGGGATTGACTTTTATCATTACACTGCAGGCCAGAAATAATGTGTTTGCACTCTCCTTCCCGCTGCCTGTTCTCCACATTTACTCCTCCCCATCACAAAGGAGATACTTTATTTATTTATGTTTTGTAATGAGAGAATTCTAAGATGCTTAAAACAGTCTGTGCTCCTCTTAGTATTTTTGTTTATACCAAATAATTTCACCAAGTTTCCCTTCCTGATAAACTTGCTGTGTTTACACATAGGCTGTCTAAGGCAGTTTGTTTGCAGAAAAGGTTACAAAAACTTTTCTGTCCAACAATGTGGTATTGTTTCTCTTCTGTCCTCTGCAAGGATGAACAAGGGTGTGGAATTCACATTTTCTGTGAAGAAAATAACACCCTTGTGGCTTCCTCAGCCACATCAGTCTAAAATCTCTTCATAATTTGGCTGCCTCCGTGAACCTCAGCTTTGACTTCTCTTGTTTTTAAAGGTTTTATTAGTAACTTGCTGCACAGCTGTACATACTTTCTAATTGACAGCCTACAGTGACTTAGTCTGGATATTTGTTTTGCTATGCAGATACAAAGGTCTTCATTGCCAGTGACTTATTGGAACAAGTTTAGCCATGTGGGGATAAACGTATAAATGAGTTTGTTAGGTCACTGTTATTTAACCTCAGGAACTGGATCGTACTTTTAAAAAGAGGGTGGGGAGGAAGTCTTGGCACTCCATTCCTTTCTCTGAGGTGGTGTGTGATTTTTGTGGGTTTTTTATATGAGGCGCCGTTGGGTTGGTTTATTTATGGAAGATTGTGGTTTGAAGGCACAGAGCAAAGTTCAGAGCTGAGACAAATTGCAGAAGTTAACTTTGGATAGGCCACATGAAGATAGAAATTTAAACCTCTTGGCCTTTCCCTAATTTGTCTGAGTGAAGTGTTTGAAAATAAATGACCAAGAACGTGTTTGCATTCTTCAAAGTAGAGCTGTCTTCAGACTTTCCTGTACTTCTGTCAAGTCTTTGCTTGACATGCCCTGACATTCTTGTTAATCACAGTGGCTGTCTAACATAACTAAATAACAATTTGGGTCGAGCTGTATTAATTTTCTGCACCCCTGAAGTACCATTTGAACTGAACTTCCTAGAAACAGACACTTTGAAGTGTTTCTTTAGTTGTTCTGAATACTAGTGCAGAAAACCATTTATTCGGGTAAACAATTGTAAGGAAGTTTGCAGTTACTGAACTCCAGAAGATTGGGTGTTGTCACAAAATTGTTCTTTAATCTGTTTTTATTCCGGTTAAGTCCACTGGATAACTCTGAGTGTTGCTGCTTCTGTGTTTTCTGAACTTGTTCCTAATTTTGGATTTTAATTCATCCCTGCAGTTCTGTTTACTCTAGTGCTATGCTCTGTTCTAATGAGGGATTTGTCATTGTTGTCCATCCTTCCATCTTCTCATTTTCTTCACAGGCTTGTAAAAGAGGAAATTCAGACATAGTGCGGCTTATGATTGAAAGCGGAGCAGACTGTAACATTTTGTCAAAGCACCAGAACAGTGCACTGCATTTTGCTAAGCAGTGCAATAACCTCCTGGTGTATGAGCAGCTCAAGAGTCATTTGGAAACGTGAGTAAAGTGTACTTTGAAGTTTGTTCTGGTGAAGCTTGCAGTTCTGGGGATGTCATAATTTTAGTTTAAGTCCTGGGAAGAGTGGGAGACTTCAGGGAAGAAAACAAATCTGATTTGGGCAGAAAACTAATAAATAAATCATGTGAAATTAAGGTGATGTGAGCTAACAGAATTAGGAGATGCTTGCTTAGACACACAGTAAAAAACAAAAAAACTGAAAGGAGGTAAAGAGAAAGAGAATTGGTAGAAGAGAAAGTCTTCCAGATTGCTGTGTTTCTAGTTTAAGGAATCTAAGAAGTGTATAAGCACTGGACTGTTGAATGTAAACTTATGAGGGCATGCCAAATAAAACACTTCCAAACAAAAGAACACCTTGCAGAAACACCATGGAAAGTCGTGGAGATAGCTGGGTTGTTCTTGTACCCTTAAAAGTCAGCAGTGAACTGGAGTGCCAGGGGTAAAGTTTTCATGGCAGTGAATGATGAAAGTAAAAATCCTCACTGCACAACAGAATACTGAAGATGAGTGCAGTGTGTGTGGTATGTGATGTGCTCACGTCATCTGGTCATGAAAAATATTCTGAGCTGATGAACAGGGGTGCTGGATGAAGACAGATGTAAAGCAGGGCCAGCTAGAGCTGGTTGACCAGGACCCTGTCCAGGTGGTGTTTAAATGTCTCCAAGGATGGGGACCTCATAATCATTCTGGGCAGCCCTCATAGTCATTCCAGGCAGCATGTGTCAGTGCTTCATCACCCTCACAGTAAAAATGTGTCTTGTGATGTTCAGAGGAAACTTCCCATGTTTTAGTTTGTGCCCGCTGCCCCTCGGGCATCACTGAAAAAAGTCCAGGTCTGTCCTCTTTGTCCCATCACTTCAGGTGTTTATTGATACATACACATTGATAAGATCCCCCTGAGACTTCTTTTCTCCAGGCTCAGCAATCACAGTTCTCCCAGCCTCTCTCATATGTCGGATGCTCTGGTTCCTTCAGCATCTTTGTGGCCCTTCATTGGGCTCTCTTCAGCACATCCATGTATCTCTTGTAGTGAGGAGGAACTGGATACGGCATTCCAGGTGGGATCTCACCAGTGATCACCTCCCTTGACCTGCTGGCAGTACTTTGCCTAATGCAGCATAGGATGGCATTGACCGCCTTTGCAGCAAGAGCATGTTGCTGTCTCATGTTCAGCATGGTGTCCACCAGGTCCTTTTCTGCCAAGCTGCTTTCCAGCTGGGTGACTTCCAGCGTGGCCTGGTGCCTGGGGATGTTCCTCCCCATGTCCAGGACTTTGTACTTCCTTGTTGAACTGCACGAGGTTCATGTCAACCCATTTCTCCAACCTGTTGAGGTCCCTCTGGATGGCAGCATGACCCCTCTGGTGTACCAGCCATTCCTCCCAGTTTGGTGCTATCTGCTGAGTTGCTGAGGGTACACTGCCTCATCATCCAGGTCGTACATGAAGATGTCACACAGGACGGGACCAGTATTGACTCGGGGGGTACACCAGGACTGACTGGCTGCCAGATAGATGTTGTGCTGCTAATTTTTGCTGAACTGATGTATTCTGATCCAGTTTTATACTGGGAGGAAAGTATTGTGATGCCAGTATTTTCAATGCACTGCAAAGTTTATCTGAGGTATTGTAAGTCCCTGTTTTGAATGTCTGTCCTGGGGAGATAGAAGGTATAAGGAACATTTTCTTATAGCAGGCTAAATGGGGAAAAAAAAGTGCTAGAAGCATAAAGCCTAATAATTGGTCACTGTAGTATCTTGCCAGTCGAGGAAGCTTCTAGCCTTACTACCTGAAAATACGAGTTCAGTGCTGCTTGTCAGTTAAAAAGAAGGTAATACGGTAGTAGTGGAGCTGAAAACAAAATGTAAGTCCGTGGTGTCAAAATGCCTTATAGCACATGCTATTCCAGTTACCTTGTTTCAAAGCCAGATGAAGCAAGAAGTGGAAGTAAAAGGTGATCAGAAATACGGAGTAGCTTCTGTGAGGATGGACTGAGGGAGGAGGTACACATCAGCCTGGGACAGAATTAAAGGTCAAAATATAAAATCAAATCAGAAAGCAACGACAGAAAATAATCCAAAGCTGTGAGACAGGTTCTGCTGGCCATCCTGTTAAATGATTTACTGATAGGTTTGATATGGAGGAATTTTTGCACAGAAAAAAAGTGGATCACGTTGCAGAATGCCATGGTTACAAATGCATAGGATTTTAGAAGGGATTAAGTAGATCTAAGGAGAAGTGCAATTTAGCTGCAGTCTTTTGAGTTTTGGATGCCTCTAAGACAGATTGCTGGAAACTAGGACAGTGTACCAAAAAAAGCCATCTGCTTAATTTCCAGTATTTAATGCAGCTTTGTCTGGCATCTGGAAACTAGGCTGGGTGGGCTTCTGGGCTTGCTTTGGTATGGGAATTCTTGTCTCTTTCTGATGAGACACAGTTTAGATTGTGCAGGTGGTAATCTCAGCTAGCATGGAGAGGTGCAGACTGAATACAGCTGGAAAAGCTGAGAGTTGGGACTTTTGCCTTGCAAAAGTCTTCAAAACCCGTTTGTGTCAAAACAGCTTTCTGAAGAGGGTTACTCAGTAACCTGCTTGTAAAGGTGCCAAATACTGTTGGTTCACATGGCCTCTCTTTGCAAGCTAGGCTGCTCACTTGAGTTACACCTCTCCCAACCCAAAAAAGCCCAAACCTACCATCTTTAATGGTAGTGTCACTACTTTTTCACTTGCATTATTAGGGAGGGTTTACTGGGAACTGCATTTGTCTCAATAGTATTGCCAGTGACTGACTTGTTTAGTTCTGTGTTGTACTCGCAGTGGGGCTGTTAAATCAGACATGCAGGGAAGTGGCTGTGTTCAGCCAGCAGGTACATACTGGTGTTTGGGAACATCTGCATAAACAGCCTTCCAAATATGTGGCTAGTTGGAATCTTTTTCAGTCTGCTGCAGTGCCTTTGTGTCAGCTTTTGTTTGTGAACCTGATTGATAGATGAATTCCACAAACAGGTTACTGATAAAATGTTCTATTAACAAAGTGTTGGGACCTGGGGTTCATGGGCAGTGGGGAAGGCATTCACTCCTGAAAATCAGGATTCCAAAGTGTGATCTGGAATCTTTTTCCTTTTTTTTTTTTTTATTAATTGGCTGTCACTAACTCTCTAAAGTAATTTTACTGTGTGAAGCACAGGCCTCACTTGTTCGGTCTTTTAGGCTCTCAAGGGTAGCAGAAGACACCATCAGGGATTATTTTGAAGCCCGTCTTGTTTTGCTGGAGCCAGTCTTCCCAATCGCATGTCATCGACTGTGTGAAGGGCCAGACTTCTCCACAGATTTTAACTACAAACCCCCACAGAATGTGCCAGAAGGTAGGGGGGTGCTGGTGTGCTGGGTGGGCTGGTTGGTTGGTTTTTAAAAAAATGGGTGGAAGGGTGTGTGAGGAAATTGCCTTTTGTCTTAAAGCAACTGTTCTGTGGAATTATTTGTGTGTGACTTATTGCAGTACGTTGTGTTAAGGATGCTCCGATTATTGAGTGTGGGGAGAGCAGGGATGTTTTGATGTATTTGGGGTGGAGTTTGTGTGTATCTTTTTGTTTAAGAGGGTTTTTTATCACACAAACACAGCTGCTTTCTCCTGTTCCTGGGTTACCTTAGCTTTGTGAGGGTGACGTTAGCTCAGTGCAGGTGTTCCAGGAAAGGAATGGTTTAACTTAATACTTTTGAACAATCTTCATCCAAGACTGTACTTGGAAAACTCACAGTGGATAATCTTGTTTTGTAGACAGTCCCTAATGGACTGGAATCTTGGAGTATAGGCACAACATATAGGATGCAAACACAGTCTGGAAATACTACCAAAAAGAAGCCAGCATCAGTCAACTTTGTCTTGCCCACAGACCCTTTGAAAAAGCTGGGGATCTAATTCCAGAGATACTTGGGAATGTTTCTTCATTCTTTCAGGAATCCAGCTACTAATCTCTGATGCTTGGCTTATCTGAGTAATTTTTATTCACCTTTTGAGTGTATTGGGGCAATATCTACTATTTCATTTTTCTTGAAATACTACATTACTGGGACTGTGAAATACTGCTTAAAGCAAGGTTGAAAGTGGTTGTGTCATCCCAGTTTTCTGGCTGCTGAGAGTTGTAACACGTCTTCCAGCTCTTGATTAGAGGTATAGAATTAAGAAACCTTGTATCAGTTGATGTATTAAAATGAGGCATCTGTGGGTATTGAAGATTGTTGTTGATTGAATTTCAGCACAGTTCATAAAGGTCTAAAATGGACTGGGCTCAGTTGTCCCTACCAACAGAAGAGAGAACCCAAACCACAGGAAATTCTGTAACTCTCCTTTAGGTGGACCTAAACCCACAAAGGTGAAACTTACCAGAAATTGCTGTACCCATTTTGTTTTCCTTTCAAACAGCCACATAACATTATTTCTGCTGCCAAAGGACTTTAAGTTAGTTGTGTTCTGTGCTGGGATACACTGACCTGGGAGATGGGATTTCTGGATGTTGCTTGGATACTCCGTTGGGGTTTAATATATACGATATCATGTTTATATTTGTATCTGTCTTCAAAGGTGCTATGTATGCAGTTGTTCTGAATAAAAGATCTCATTTCTAATTCACGTGACTGAATTGCCTTCCCTTTTAGGATCTGGAATTCTTCTCTTTGTTTTCCATTCAAATTTCTTTGGTAAAGAAGTCATTGCTCGGCTCTGTGGACCGTGCAGTGTACAAGCCGTGGTTTTAAATGACAAATTCCAGCTCCCTGTATTTTTGGTAAGTCTTTTCATACAATTGACATGACTGTAAAGCTGCTTTTTAAAAGTCTTTATGGAGCAGCCTGGAAGATCCTAGTGCCTTAATTTGGACTTTGAGTATTGTGATTTAAGCATTTACTATCTTGATAATATGTTCTTAATGAAACTTAATTCTTCTTTGTATATGGAGAGAACTACAAACCTTGCATGTACTCCATAGAAATTTGTGACTTGAAAGGCAGGGACATAATGCTGGGCAGCCTGTTTCTAGGCAGCCCTACTTGAGCAGGGGGGCTGGACCAGATGACCTTGAGGTATCCCCTCCAGCCTCAACCCTTGCATGGTTCTGTGGCTTCAGAATGAAGGGTTTGAGAAGGCAAGTGTGAGTTTAAAACTGTTTAACTTCTCAGCTTTTTGACCTGAGTAAGTTCTTAAATATGTAACGACCTACCTCATATTTCTAATGTGGTGTTTATTTAGGGTTTTTTTTAATCTCCTAAATGCATTATTGCACAGTTCTCAGGTCTTCTTGCTTTCTCTTGTGGCTGCACCAAAGGTTCTTTGTAGAATGTCCAACTTTACCCAAAAATGCATACTGAAAGTGTTGTGTTGTATTGGTCCGCTCACATAGCACTTTCAGGCATATCCTGCCATTAACCTTGTCCATATTCTTTTTCCTTTCAGGACAGTCACTTTATTTATTCCTTCAGCCCCACTGCAGGCCTTAACAAGCTTTTTATACGGTTGGCAGATGCTCCTACTGCTAAGGTACAAAGCAGTCTCAAATGTGCATGTTAACTTGTACAATAACTCTTCCGTAGTCTAAATACTTCTATTTGTATGTTGCAAATGTAAAACTTAAGGACTTTTCTCATCCCGGTTCCCATCAGTTGCAGTTCCATCCTGTGACATTTCCAGAACTTAGGAAAGTTGCCAAGGGCATCAGTTGTCACAATGAAATGTTTTCATGCTGTAGACAAAATAATTCAAGCACCAAGATAAAGCAATGTTACAGCTGAACATTTTCCCCATCGATATTGTGAATTGACTGACACTCCATCTATCTGTTAGTCATTAAATTTTTGCATACAGATATTTTTGTGTGCTTGGGAGAACTTGGAAGTATTTACTAGGATGTGCAGTCTGCTTTTAAGTAGGCTGTGTAGTCCATTGTATTTTCCAGGTTTGAGCAGCAGTCCCACCACATGTTGCATGATGAGTAATAGACCCTGTTCTGGTAGCATTTCTTTTATCCTTAGAAGACACACCAGTCAAGTTTCTAGATGGTCAGATTTAAAATATGTGTTTTATTTAAGTTTTATTAAACTTAAGTGTTTTATTGTGCATTTCTAAATTTTTATTTAAAAAAAGGGGGAGAAATTGAATGTGTGTGTGTGTGTGTGTATGTGTGTATCAGATTTGGGGTTCACTTGTTCAAACGCCACCTAATGCAGCCTTATTTCACCAGAGTCCTTTTAAAAGTCATTCATATTTCCGTAGGGCTGCTATAAACTGATCTTAGTAGGTTGTAAACTACTTTTTCTTCCCTTCCTCAGTCACTAGTAGTTTTACATCTTTTCTCATGCTGTTCTCATAGTAGTAAGTGTTTAACACAGTAGTTCCATGTGGATGACCTTTAAATGAAACCTTTGCTTGCCCTCCCAGGTAAAGCTGCTGATTGGAGCGTACAGAGTGCAGCTGCAGTGACCTCACAGCTGTGAGCATGTTGAGTGGACGGACGTTGTTTTGGATGTACTTCTGATGCCTCTGTTTAGAGACTGACAGAGCAGTTTGGAACTTTTTGGCACCATGCTCCTAAGACTGTGTTCCCATCTCGCTGTCCCTCGCTGGCAGCCATGTAGGAAAGTGTGTGCTGGAGAGAAGCTGAATCTGAGGCACTGGTGGGACAGGGCTGTCAGCTTTTTTTACTTTGTACAGATGTAGATGTAAGTATTTGTGCCAATACACGGAATTCTGGTTTTCTTTAACTTGCTGAGTCCAGACTGCGTATTTCAGCTTTTCCACAATGTGGAACGGTACATATAAGAACTATTTAAGGTAACTATGTGAAGTGTCTTTTTTAATAGATTTTTTCCATTTGTAAACTAAAGTTTTCTACTTACTCTCACGTTTCTATGTACAACACAGAACTGCCATAGTTTTGGAGCCATGGGCATAACTTACACTTTTAAGCTGTTGCATTACATTTAACTTTGAATTGCTGAGGGCTGGTTTGGAATTGTTCCTGCTGCTGTCTACCAGGAAAGCAATTCTGCTTAGAGTGATTCCCTCTGAACACATAGTGAGATCTGCAGGCACCAGCAGTGGCACTTGGATAGGCCCAACTACAGGATGAGCACAGCTGGATTCCTACTTACACCAGTGTTTGAAAACTTCTTTGGTGTTAGAGAAGCAACTGGTAGTTTTACTTTTGACTTTGACATTCTTGGATGTATGGGCAAATAAATACAAGGTAAAAATAGCAAACTAGAGAACTTGTAACTCCCTTCAGCGTGTGGGCAGTGCTTGACGTAGGCTGAGAAGATACATCGACAGTCTCAGATGTTCTCAGCTTGCCAGATGAGAAAATGTATTATCCTTTAAAGCAGAAATCCAGTTCCTCAGTGCAAAGAGCTGCTATCTTTTTTTTAAGTAGTAGTAGTAGTATTTAAATGACAGCAGTTCTGTACTGGTTCTGTGCTATAAAATACAAATGTAATACTTCTGCATGAAGTATAGAATATTTTTCTTTGTAACTTAACCAACATCTTGAAAAGTATAGCAGAAAAATAAAACCAGATTGTGCCTTTGCTGTTCTGGTTGCCATGTGTAGTTTACATGCCACTATGTGCCTGTAATATTGGAGAAACCACTGCAGATAAACTCCTGATGTATTTGAGTGCTCACCATCAAAATGGTGCCCATGTATTAAGTATTCTTTTAAAAACTGTGACTTTTTAATACAAAGCTTAGTTAACCAGTTTTTTGTTTTAGGTTCTTAAAAGCTTTTTAACCTTTTATACATAAGTGAGTGGGTACCAAAGCACCTTGCTTCAGTTCTGTGGAGTATTGCATTGAGCTATAAAAAGCTAGAACAGCAGCACAACCTACAACCACCTGTGTTGTTCTGGTTTAGAATGGCTGCATGTCTTTTGTGGTGATGGGACAGGACCAAGTCTGGGAGTTAACAGAGTTGGTACCTCCACGTCTGAAATACCTGATACCTCATTTTGTGCAGTGTGAAAAGCACGGGCTGAGGCTTGGGGCTGACCCTGCCACCACTTGGGACTACTCATGGCTCTGGGTCTTTTTAGTTGCTGCATGTATTCCTGGATGATGAACATGGAGAGGGGACATGCACAAGTGTTCCCTTACAGTGGGGTGATAGTGCCCATGTGTATGGCTCCCCCTTCCACAGTCACTCCTTGGTGTACATGTAAGGGGAGTTGGCATGTGCGTGACCACCACTGTGATAAATGTTGGATCTGTTCAAGGCAGGGACAAAAGGTTTAGGAACTTATGTCCACATTACATAGACGCTGTTTAGGTCAGACTGTATAACAGTGTCTAAAAACAGTCATGGTCCAGGAGCTGTCATAGCAATTAGCTTGTCAATGGCTGATATTTAGGGAGTTTGATTGGGGATTTTGATGTTTTTCTTGAGGCATTTGAGAGAGAGGGAATTCTACAGGAAATGGAAATAAAATTTGGGTTCATAATGCTTTTATTAAGGGATGGATTTTGCAGCCATCTTCCTCTTGTAGTTGGCAATATAAACTCCAAATCCCTGCTGAAGATGCATAAAAGGCGTATGAAAATATGTTTGAAGCTGTTTTTTGTCTGATTCTATTCTGTGGTTTTTATTCAGTTGCTAAGAACAAGCTGCGTGGTTCTGAATTGCTGGCTGGGCTTAAACCACAACAAGCTTTACCAGGCTGGTTCAGACACCCTGTCTGAAGAGTTTGCACAGGAGCTGGGCAAGCATTTGAGGTTTCCCTGGTTTCCTGGATCTGTCAGATCTGGACACACAGTCCTGCTGGGATTGTTTGTCTGTGAACAGCAAGAACAAGACCCCTAAACCCAACAACAAGCATCACCTCCCAGTCCCTAGACTGGCTTCCTGTATCCTTCCTCCATGAAACAAAAGGGGTTACCAGGAACTGCCAGTGGTTCCACACTGGGGGGAAACCAATTAACTGCAGCAAGACAGTAGTGACTGCACAGGTTTTATTACTGGTGTGATACAACACTGGGATACACCAATAATTATACACGATTTCCTCACTACTGTGCACTCCTAAAGTGAGCCTGTCTCCATCTTCTCTACCCCCTCCTATTACACAGCTGATGCAAGATGATCTCCTGGCCTGAGCTCCTGTTTTCCAGACAACAAACCCCGCAGCTCCTGGGCTTTAACCTCCTGATCATAATGGTGACTTCCACTGGACTGTTCCCACATATACCTGGTGGGCAGAAGCCCAGAACCCGTCCCAGTGGTCCAGCTGCAGTCCCAGAGCACTGAACAGAAAGGAAAGCTTGTCTGCCCAGGCTGCACCACAGCACTGGTTAATGCAGTGTCCTCTGCAGGCCCTTACATCTGCCTTTTCTGAACTTGGTGAGGTTCCCGTCAGGCCCTGGGTCTGTGCTCAATGCCTGTTGATTGCAGGAAATAGAAAATAAACATCCTGTTAGTCACTGTTTAATTTGAATCAGTTTTATAATAGATATAGAAACCCTGACAAAACCCTCTATGTTACAGTGCAATGTTAAACTTACACTGTATCAAAATTCATTTTTCGTTACTCATTTCATTGATGGTTTTGGGGTTTCATCTTTTTATTGGACTACATTAAGGCAGCAGGCATTTTTGTCATGACTTTCACTTCAGCTGCATGGACTGCAACTTCAGTGCAGTCCTCCCTTCCCCATCAGTTAACACTGCCTTCCAGTCCTTTCCAGCTGTTGCTGGCTCAGGTAATAAATACTTCCTATGCTATTTTAAACTGTACTGCAACCCAAACACAATCCACATTCTGAGCTAGCACCACCACTTTCCTATCTTTTGTCACATTTTAGTGCTGTAAACAAGGAGAAGTCTTTTAATGTATCATTTACTCTTGATTCTTCTTGTAGCACATACAAACTTTAACCCTTTTATCAACACCATTTCCCAGCACTTTTCCTGGGAAGACAGCCTGCTTCTGGTACAGTCCAGCTAGAAAGGGAGTAATGATTTCAGGAACACACCAAAGTTGGCCAACATCAGCTTTACTAGTAAGAGCTCGACTTTGCACTGCACTGTGGAGACCTCCACCTCTGCGGAGGACAGCAACATCACATACCTGGAACTAGTTGCTTCATCCAGGAACAAGCATCTTAAACCCTGCAGGCAGATGCCCGTTGCAGGTTCTTCTGATGGGTCTTTCCTAGTCCCAGGTGTAGGTGAGACACATTCCACATCCCATCCTTTCAAACTGTGCCACTGCCCAGGCCTTAGGGGGCAGGCTCATCTACAAGCAAAAAGAATACAGCTGGAGTGACAGCGATCAATTTGTCCCATTCCACTGTTCAGCTAGGTGCTACATCTTTAATGATAACAGCACTATTCTGGTCCCCAAGAGCAAAGAGAGCAACAGGGTGAGGGAGAACCACATGTAAGCACTGATAAACAAGCACAAAGGAAATCAATTTCATCATAACCACTGTTAGGTCCTTTACTGAGCAACAACATGATAATACTCTCACCCCTAATGGTCCCCGTTATCCTAACCTGAAGGGCAGCATTTTGCACCACTTTGGCACAGCAGAAAGACAGCCTCAGGCCAGAGCATGTATCACCACCAGCCATTCTCACTGAAGCAAAGAACAGCTTTCAGGGAACAGCTGCGCTTCAGGCTATGGAATTACAGGAGACAATGAAGTGAGAACTTCCTTGAACACATACTTTAGAGGACGGCAAACCACACAACTCAAAAAGCAGACTACAGAGCAATGGAGTAGCAAATGCTGCTGGAAATGCTACCACCTTCCCAGACAGACCTTCCAAGATGTTACCTGGAATTCTCCAGCACTGTGCATCAGCCCAACAGCACAGTTTGGCTTCACTATGAAGGAGGTCTGAGCCCAGCGCATTTTCTGTAGAACAGAACTGGATGCTGATAAATTTCAGAGCTGGAGAGGGAACACAGCAGCACACCAAGGCACGCTCTCATCTCCACAAATCCTGACCAGCAATAAGCTAAGGAAGATCAGACTGAGCAGGTGTGACTTGGTTCATGTGCCTGATTTGCCTCACTCTCCCCATGTTCTGCAGCTTGTTCACTGTTTGCCAAAAAAATCAGTGCAATCCACTCACATTTTTAATCTAATCTTCCCTCAGTTTTTAATGCAATGTAATGAGGCCATCAGGCTCTGTCAGCCACGTTCACACTGCAATCTGAAGCACACACACACACACAAAGGAATAATGGGGAAGGAGAAAGAAAGGATTTTATCACTCCACCGAGACAAGGAGTCGTTATTTAGCCAGTCAAAGGAACACTTGTATCTCCAGGGAGCCTTGGCCATCGGCTCTTCCTTCACAGGAAGGAAACAAAAGTTGAGGACAGGAAAATTCTGAGGCGCCTGGGAAACCTGCCAAGCACCGGGGCTCCCACACAGCTCCTGCGCTGCGGCAGTCTGAGACAAGGACAAACAAGGCTCACTTCCCAACAGCTACATGATCAAGGCAAAACATCAGCAGGACAGAACAACCTCTTCTGAGTCAGAAAATACCGATCGAGTGGTTTTTCTGTTATTACTACTTTTCTGATAATGAGTTTTAACCATGTTAAGTGTGAAATGAGAGACCTTGTCATTTCTAGATTCTGTGAGTAAATTCTTGTGGCTTAGTTCTGTAGCCTGGTGTATATTACACTTTATTGGGGGACAATTTTTATATTAACTGTGATTTCCCTACAAATAGAAAACAACAGTGATCTCAGTTAAGGGCAAGATAGAACCACAGAACAAAGCATGAATCAGTTTTCCCACCTCCTCAGCCCTCCCCAGTATCAAACAGGTAACGGTCTGAGTTAGGGAACACTTAAAACTGATCACAGGTCACAAGCTAGGCCAAGGGAAGGGCGCAGCAGCAGCGCTGAGGGAGCCGACCGCTGGCACTGCCGACAAGCCACAGCAACTGAGACAAGGGGAAAACCGATGTCAACTGCTACCCAGTGGGGGACCTATAGAACTGCAGGCCCTGCAAAGGTGATGGATGGACTACTGGAAACCATTTCCAGAACAAGAAAGAACAGAAGGTAACTGGGAGCAGTCACCATGGATTTACAAAGGAAAGGGGTCATTTCCAAACCCTAAAGAATACTAACCTGACAGCCTCTGTGACGAGGTGACCAGTTCAGTGGCTATGAGTGTCACCAGAAGTCAGGGGAATAAAACTCCTTAATGCCATGTAGCATTAAGAAGCAGGAACTTCTTTATTGCAGCACTGAGTGCTAGGTGGGATTTCCACAAATCAAGCACACCCCATGCCAATTTCATCGTTACATTTATACACAAAAATTACAAGGTAGTACACTCCCAGTTACAATGACAGGTTAGTGATTTGCACATAACTGTAGCATCTGCTGTGTCATTTTGACATTATTCTGTCTTCTGTTATTATGTTTGCGCAGAGGAAGGGCCTTCACCTGGACAAGGGTCTTTTGTGGGTGTGGTTTTTAGCATTATAATAAGAGTATAATGAGCATAGTTCATCTACAGGACATCCTAATCTTATTTTGCTGCCAAGTTGGCTGGCTAGATATCTACCTTGCCAGGTTGTCAAATAACTCATCCTATATACAATAGACCCTAGGTGCTTTGGTTGCAGTCTAGAGAGTAAAGACTAAGGCTAACATGTTACAGAGAATAGAGATCTCAAGCAACACAGTCATATTTCAAGCAGCACAGCAACCCATGCTAGCAAAAAGGCTAACTTCTTAAAGATGTTCCCATAGCTGTTTCTCAAGCAAACACATAATACGCACAGATTCAGTAAAACTTAACCTGCGACAGGAGGAGAGCAGTGCATATTGTCTACCTTGACTTCGGGGTGGTTTTTGACACAGTCTGACACAGCATCTTCATTGACTAGCAGATAAAGTACAGGCCCAGTAAGTGGACAGTGAGGTAGGCCTGAAGACTGGCTGAACAGCCAGGCCCAGAACATTGTGATCAAAGACATGAAGTGCAGTTGAAGGCCAGTAAGTAGTAGAGTACCCCAGGAATCAGTAGAGAGGCCTGTCCTTTTCACCGTCTTCATTTAGGACCTGGATCATGGGACAGTGTACCCTCAGCAACTTTGCAGATGACACCAAACTGGAAGGAATGGCTGATGTGCTAGAGAGCCATGTCACCATTCACGGGACCTTGACAGGCTCGAGATACGGGCCAACAGAACCTCATGAAGTTCATCAACAGGAAATACCAAATCCTGCACCTGGAGAGGAACATCCCAAGGCACCAGGACAGGCTGGTGCCAAGCCGCTCGAAAGCAGCTTGGCAGATAAGGACCTGGGTGGGGGTCCTGGTAAACACCAAGTCCAGAAACCACCATGAGCAAAGACTGTGACCTGGCCACAACGAAGGCCCATAGCATCCTGTACTGTATTACAAAGCAAGTTGACAGCATACGGAAAGAGATGATCCTTCCCCTCTGTTCAGCATTGGTGAGACATCTGGAGTGTTTTGTATTGGCCTGCCAGTACAAGAGACATGGACACAGTGAATTGAGTTCAGTGAATGGAAGACAACTGAGAGACTGGAACATCTTCCATATTCTAAAAAGGCTGAAAGAGCTGCAATTGTTCAGCCTAGAAAAGGAGGGCCAGAAGTCTTACAAATATTTATAAACTTCTAATTAGAGGGTATAAAGATGACAGTCTCCCCAGTTGTGCCCAGAGACAGGACCAGAGGCAACAGGCACATAGCTGGGACAGCTGACTCCAACTGACCAAAGTGATACTCCAGGCCATATGGTGTCATGCTTAGCAATAAAAGATGGGGGAAGAAGAATGAAGGGACCTTTGGAGTGATGGCATTTGTCTTCCCAAGTAATGGTTTCATGTGACAGAGCTCTGCTTTCCTGGAGATGCCTGCCAATGGGAAGTGGTCAATGAATTCCTGGTTTTGCTTTGCTTGCGTGACTGCCTTTTGCTTTACCTGTTAAACTGTTTTTATCTCAACCCAAGAGTTTTCTCCCTTTTACCCTTCTGATTCTCTCACCCATCCCACCAGGGATGAGTAAGCAAGCAACTGTGTGGTGCTGAGCTGCTGGCTGGTGTTAAACCATGGCAGCGACCAAGCGCTGGTACAAGTTGCCCAGAGAGGTTGTGGAGTCTTCATTCCTTGGAAACCAAACCCAAATGGACACAGTTCAGGGCAACCTGCTCTACCTGACACCTTGCTTTGAGCAGAGGGCTGATTATACAGTCTTCATAGCACCCTTCCAACCTCAGTCATTCTGGGATTCTGTGAAAGGCATCCCCATTTTCAGCTGCAAAGGTGAGATGCAAGTTAGCACTGCACGGCCCAGGGGAGTGGCTATCTCCAACAGCAAGGGTAACTACCAGTCTGCCTAGCAAACAGTGCATTAACTGAGGTGGCCTGAAGAGTAGGGAGGGGAGCAGAGCTCTGACTCTCCATCTGAAGGCATAGCAGGAAGAGAGTAACAGTGTGAAGAGTGTAATAGGATTCTGCCTGTCTTGGGTAGAAATTTTAGAACTATTTCAGTTTTGGGAATCAAACACCACATGGGCAATTTTTCAGTATTAGTTATAACTCACAGTATATTCTGAGATGTGTTAATGCAGAAAGATTTCTTCCCATGCTTTTTACAGAATGACAAAGGACCCCATTGTGTTTATACTTCCCATGCAACCCTCTGAAATTTTACTGCTTGCTTCCCACACTTTTTAACAGCTGACTTGAAAATCAGTAGAAGGACCCCTCTCATTAGCAATACATAAACTAGCAATTAATGATACAGACTGCTACTATAGAATCACAGAATCGTTTGGTTTGGAAGGGACCTCTGAAGATTCTCTGCCATGGCCACGCACATTTTTCACATGTCATTAATAAATACCTCAATAAAGCTTTTTCCTTATATACCTGATTCTCTATTTACTTAGTTATTTAACCCAACTACAGCGACAGCTCTGAATACATTTAACTAGGCCAAACACACACACAGAACTAACCCAACTGCCTCTAGCTGCATCAGTAGAACTTGCACATCTCAGATGAATCCCACCATTTTAAATTGTTTTTACTTTAGAAAAGCAACTGATATTTTAGAATTTCAGAACTATGGAAATACAGAATCAAGTTACTCTTTAAAAGCTTCACATCTGTCAGTCTCACAGAGATGCTTTTAGCACCCAGGGTGGGTGATACTACCTACTTGTACTGTATGTATGAGTATGTAGTACTGTATGTACTACCTACTACTGTATGTACCTACTCGTACATACAGAAACAGAACTCTATCTCAGGCTTTACAGAGTACATGGACACAGCCTTCCATACCAAAGCCTACTGGCTTAATCCCAAAGACTGCTCAGAATCAGAAACTACAATGCTGATCATACAAACTGGATGCTGAATGCAATGCATCAATAATATCCAACAGGTCAGCCACAGCATCATATTAATGTGGCACTATGGGCTTCAGATGTAAGAAACATGATGGCTAATCAGATTTTGAGCTGTCTGTGTACGTATATTTCAAGTCCTTTAAAAACATGCTAATGTGTAACAGGAATTACGTAAAGAATTACACTATCTGAAAGCAAGTATTACTTGAAGTGTAAAAGCAGAATTACTGTACATCATATCACAAATATGAACATAAAAAGAGGGTTCATAATTTCAGTACTTGATGAATAAAACCAAATACTCTAATACATACCTTGTACAAAACTTCGTTTAGATTTCCTGCTGTATGTGTAATATAGCAGAAGGATTCTGCACGAGCCAGTCTTCATCCGCATTTTAAGATTTTAACAGTAACCTAAAAAATAAAGACAGTAAATAACTGACACTTCAAACTATATATATATATATAAATATAGAAGCTTCTCTTTTCAAATACCCATAACACAGGGAAATGAAACTTCACATTACCAGAAAAAAAAACATTTATTCTCTACACATTCTTAGCTCTCGGTACTACAACAGATTTCTCAAAAGATTTCACATTTAATTTTTACTACCTCGCAGGTAAAAAGCAGCTGTTCCAAGAACATTCACTAGTTCCTAGGTTTTCATACTTCTGCTTGGAGTAGATTAAGTGCCAAAGAGCACAAAGTTATTCAGCTTTCAACTGTTTCTAAAACATATCAAACACAACACTGTCTTCTAGGACTGTCAGTGCATGTTGGCCACAGCGACCTTTAATCCTTCTCACATTATTGCCATTACAATAATTACAACACAGTTATTGATGAACCTTGACAACTAACTGCTCTCACTGTAACTGTACTGAGGGCATGGAAGCACGAACAGTCTCCTCCCTGTTGTGCAGGCTGCTGTGTACAAATGCAACTTAAAAGGGCAAAGCTATATATGAAAATAATACAACTGAACTGGAGTAAAATGTTGTCCTACTTTAGAACATCACAGAACAGAGCTGCACAGAAGTCTCATTACATTTTAATACTGAATGCATTAGGAACTGATGCAAAACTTTAAGATTTTGTAATTTTAAAAGTTACTGAATAAATTTGCTTGCATTTGCAGTAAGTGCAGTTGGAAGAACAAACAGCAAGTCAGAGTATAATTTTATTCCTATTACATTTATTAATTCACACATTACTGTAATTATATTCAAAAAGGCCCAAATAATAACTGTTAATAAGGGTTATCCATCTTGAACTGTATGTCTTTTTCTAGAGTCTACATGAATAGTAATTATCCAAAGTGTCTGAAAATCAAATAGCTCCATGCCCCAGCCATTCAGGCTTCAAAACAGCTCTCACCCATATACACACATTCCTTCCCCCCTCGCCCAATTTGTATCACATCACCTCTTCTCCAAAAGTACCTCTGATTTAAAATAGCATGGCAGTACTGCAATGTTCAAGAGGTTTAACACCATCCATTACTCAGTCTAGGGAATCAGACACAGAAACATGTTGCAGAGCCAAGGAGCCTTAAAAAAATGGCTCTAGAGAGGAAGGCTGCCTGGAAAGCACCCGATTACAGCAGTGGAAGGGGATTAAGAATTCTGTATGTTCTCAGATACACTTCTTTAAGAAGACTTCTTAAAATAATTTATCAACATCTTGAGGTCCTGTTTGATGATCAGAAAGCTGAGCATACCCTGTAAAGTATTTGTTACAGAAGAATTACTTTTGAAAGCCACACACAGGTTGCACCTTTCAGGCTAGCTCTGCTCCAGGAACAGGCCCAAAAAACAACTCAAGAGTGACATACATGCAAATTACAACACAGAACCACAGACATTTACAATAAAGATAACATTTACCTTATCAGATACAGCTGGAAAAAGGCTGAGGCTAGCAGCTCACAGTAAATATTTCAAAGTTGGCACAGTTTTAATGTCTGAGTCCTATTAAAAGTGCTGTTAATTCATCAATTCCCTCATATGCTCCCTTTTCATCCCACATTCCCTTTCCCCCATTGTGCAGCTTCCAACAGATCTGATTTTGAAAGTTCTCTATCCATAACAGACATTCCACAAGACGGATACTTTATTCCTAAAGCACATATGAAGAGCACAGCCCTCTTAACTCTTTATAACTAGAGCTGTAATTTTTCAAGTGCTAGTATATAAATAATTTAGCAGGTGAAATGAAGTCACAGCCATAGTGATGCCTGTCAGCTGTGGGAACCAGGCTGGAGTTGTCATCTGGACAAATATCCATTTCCTGGGGCATCACCTCCACATGGGGCAACTAATTCAGCTATTGAGAAGTATGTACCCATGTTAAAGGGAGGCTACAATTACAAACTGCTCACCTGTCAGTATTTTAGCATTATAAAAAAAATAATTAAAAGACCTTAGCAATTAGGCTTTCCTTCTCCCTCCCACCCCCCCCATCTAAAACCAGTAAGGCTAAAACCTCCAAAGGCCCAACGCAGTCCTGTTTCCATTTACCTTCTTTCTTGGCCAGCCAGGTTTACTGAAGAGAAAGCAGTGAGCCATAATCCTGGCAACCGGTAGATACTAATGACATAACTGTAGCCAAATAAATCTACCATGCCTTTGAAGACAATCTCTAAAACCAGCCAGTAACAACTTCTCCAGGGTTCTCTCTCCACAAGAAATTAAGATCTTTCCAACCTCTTGAACCTATATAAACCCTACTGTATACGATTAATTACTTTGTTAGACCTGAACGTATACTAGCAGCTCGTGCTGAAAAAGGGGATTCCCAAGAGTGAGCAGGAACACAGCGAACAGTTCTTTTCAAAGTAACACAGAATCACAGAATCCAAAGGGTTGGAAGGGACCTCAAAATGATAAAGCTTTTCTTTAAATTAAAGCTCAAAGTGGGTATGGTGCCAAGAAAAATTAATCTGAAATATTCTAAAAGGCAAACAGCATGATAAACATGTCTATTCAGAGATGAACACATGCATCATGCACAAGCTGAGTGATACTGTGCATATACTGAGCCATTACCAAGGAAAACTGGAAAAAAAAAACCAAACAGCTCTTCAACCTATCTCAAGTAACACATACTCAGCTTTAACAGAGTACTCTCTACTTACCGTCTTTTCAATGAGGAACTGCTATGTGACAAGCTCAAAGTTGCCACAGAAAGGACACAGACTTTTGTGTACCCCTGTATCTTAAGCAAGGTCTGAATTTGAAGACCCTGAAATTGGTATTTCATAAATTTAATCAAAATTGCTTATTTACAAGTTATGTTCCCAGATGTAAGACCGTGCATTAATACAAAATGAGGACCTATTTCTGGGGGTAAAAAAAAAAAGATTTCCTACCACTTCAAAGCAGTTTGGATTTGATCAGAAGGGAGTGAAGTCTTTAACTTCTTAACATCACTGAGGATTCTACTCCACAGTATAAAGTGTTATATTTTCATAATATATATGTATTTTTGCAAAGTTTGTGAGCTGTAAGGCTGCAAAGTCATTAAAATAATCCTATATGAAACAGCAACTCAATCCCATACTTTTGAATATAGCCCTCTCCCCTACCTTGCTCACTAACAGTCCCATGTTGAGCAGCCTGCAACACCAGAACAGCTGGTTAATCAGTGATTTTCCTAATTATCCATTCTACATCTGCTGTCTTTAATGCAGCAGCAATGTCTTCAGATGTTCACATTTCTATTAATTTTGTTCATGCCAACCAGCTTGGAAAAATATCTGAGTTAACAGTATTATTTTCTCAGCACTCGTATGTCCTGTTACACAAGTGTGAAGTTCTTGAACCTTCTATAATAGAAAAACTAAATAGTACAAAACCATTGAAGCAGCAAGGGACTAACCTTTAACCCTCACATCTTTCATCTAGAACTGACAATGTATAGGTGTGACTTCACCAATTAACAAAGAAAACTTAAGAAACCTGATAGATGAAAAGCATACGAAACTGCTCTACCACTCAGCAGTGGAAGTTACAGAAGTCAGTTAAAATTTCATGAGCTTGATTTGTCAGATTCTAGAAATTGGGTGAATTCACCTACCACAGAAACGTATGGCTTGTTTATGTACTGAGTTTGAAACAGATTTAGAGAATCTGCTGATTTACAGCAGATATGGTTAAACCAGGACAGCTAGCAAAGAGTTATGCAGTAGCAGTACTGCTCTAGTGCTTTAAGGAAAGCCAAGACACCAGACGTCATTGCACTGCACGCTGTGCAAACAAGTTTACAACTGTGCAATCTGAGAGAACTACAAAGAAAATTTTAGACACAATTAAATAGGCATAGTTTCATCAATAGCCTCTTAGTCTGATTTCAACATATTTTTAAAATTGTTTTTAAGTAGCAAAAATGTGTTTAGGCAAAGCCCAAGAGTTTTACGAGATTTTAGTTTTAAGACTACAGAATATCAGCATAAAGTTTCTATTATAGAAAAACACATATATAGCTGACGAGTAATGACCTAACTAGTTTGAGGATATTATAGATCTTCTAAAAACTAGGGGGGAAAATCTACTTTCAAGGGAAACTTCCCTGGATTATGCATAATCCAAACTTTGTCCAATTGAAAAAACAAACCAACATTCCTAAGGAATTGCGAAACTAAAACACTGTGCATTTACTTCTAAGGTGTTACCAATGCTGCTTTACCCAACTTTACACAATGCTCCCCATTCCCTCCTGGTAGGATTCCTTACCTGTTATTTTTGAAGCAGATGCCAAGTTAGGCCAGTGTCCTAACCTCCTCTTCCAAAATCATGACAGCTGAATTGATTATCTTTGTGGGACTAAAATCTCTGAAGCCATAAGACTGTGCTGGGGGAAAGGGCAGGGCAAGCTGTGGTCACATGGTCCTTATAAAGAGCAACAACTCAAGATTCACTCAAAGAGCTTTCATCTTTGAAGTGCTTCATTTGAAAATGTAAAATTTAACAGCACTAAGCAATAGATACATCTATGTTGAAATGAAACCGAGTAAGGAAGCATTCAAATACCTAAGCATATCACAGAACTTTAATGTGAACTCATACGCAGTTCAATAAAGTTAAAGCTTTATTTACGTAACAGAACAATAGAAGGGTTAATATTGGAAGGGGCCTCTAGAGATCACCTGGTCCAACTCCCTGCTCAAGCAGGGCCACTCATAGCTGATGCCCAGGATCACCCAGGACCATGTCCAGCCAGCTTCTGGTATCTACAAGGATGGAGACTCCACAATGTCCCTGGCCAATCTGAGCCAGTGGTTGGTCACCCTCATATTAAAAACTTGTTTCCTGATGTTCAGACAGAGACTCCTGTGCTTCAGTTTGACCATTGCCTCTGGTCCTCTTAAAAGATTCAGTCATTCATTGTGCAGTCCAGCAATTTCCTTCCTGTACTAACTCTGCTAGGTGACAATTTTTAGCTCTGATTACTTCATGACAAAACTAATACCAAGTTCTAACCTTCCACTATAACAAAGCCATATTTGTTGGAAAAAAAAATAATCTTAGATTATTAGATTTGAAACACACAGAAAATTGAAGCTATTTCAGCATAAAACCAACAGAACAGCATGAATAAACTGCAGGGTATCCTGCAAATGCTATCACACATCAGTCCACTAACATACTTACCTGTTTAACAAAAAAACAACCACCAAAACATAAAGCCATGTTCAATAAAGGTACCATTTTTCATGAAAACTTGTGATTTATAGAGATGAAGGCATTTACAGATGTTTCAGTATGACATAACTAGCCCTGGCAGCAAACCAAGCATGCACTTGCCCAGTCTAAGCAGGTTACTATTCAGACCTGGGCTAGAAGTTATGCATAATGCCACCAAGAAACTTGTGAGAATTTTTAAGGCAGAATACGTGGTGAGCTGAACTGCACAAAACCAAAGAGCACAGGTTCTCTACTTGCTACTGTTGTACAAACTTCATTGCCTGGCAAGCTGGGATTCAAACATTGCTTTTTTGTCCTTTCCTTGATCAACTGGACATATTGTTGATACTGCACCAAGATTTATCTCAACTTCCCTGTACCATTTTACATTCCTTATTTTACAGAAAGTGGCTACTACCTGCAAGATAAACCTGTTATTCCTACCTGAAGTGAAACAGCTAAGTAAATATCAAGCATTTAAAAAAGCATTAAGCCTCAGCTCTTATACCTGCACAGCTAAGGAAGCACCTGCCAACATGTAATGAAGAGGACAAAAAAGCACAATATTAGGAATAATTTCAAGTTTGAATAACAGATTTAACTATCAGGCATCTCAGTGTGTGTTAGGAATACTACTAAAATTAACTCTTCCACCACCTACCCCCTCTTCAAATGTGACACTCCACTTGACTACAACTTTCTTCACTTGAGAACAAAGTACAAAGGCCTAATGATGAAACCATGTTTGCACAGGACTAAACCAAGACCACATGGCATGAAAGAGTGAACTTCCTTTTGTTATCATCTTACATACAATTACTTGGCATCACGTTCAAGACTAAAGTATTTAAAATCAAAGTGACTGGCTGTTGGCACTATTTTTTGCATTTAACTCAGATTTCAAAATATAAGGTCATACTAAAATTCTCACATTAAAAATATGCATTTAAAAATAAGTTATCAAATTATGTCATGGCTGTTGGCACTATTTTTTGCATTTAATTCAGATTTCAAAATATAAGGTCATACTACAATTCTCACATTAAAAATATGCATTTAAAAATAAGTTATCAAAATTATGTTGTGTCCAATTTGTAAATATCAACACATTAATAAGAAAACAGTTATGAACACAAAGTTGTTATTTATGTTACCTGTTTGTGGCTTTTGATGTACACAAGGAAAAACCACTCACTCTTAACACACTATAAATATTATTTGCTATACTTTGAAAAAGAAACTCTGTATAAGCAAGCAGCAGCTTCTCCAAAGAAGTCCACGTTTCAAAACAAAGTTCTGTATAGTGACTGATGTATCAATTTCTTTGCAAGGTTAAGAGAACAGTTACATGTTACCAGATTCTTTCACTACTTTTTACAGATCATTTTAAAAAGAGCTCAGTCTGCTCTCCTATTCTGCTCAACCTTGTTCTTGCCTTCTCTTCAATTCCATCTTACAACTTTCTACCAACTTACTTTCACAGAGTTCTGCAAAATTTGCATCTGATCATCATCTGATTGCTGAGTATGCTCTGACAGGGTATATTTATGCATGAATTTTGAGTGATTCTATTTTACACCATGTGCAAACTAAAATAAATGCAGATATCCAAGTAGCTTAAAGATGAACCTCAGCACATTGAGGTAAAACCAGGTCTTTCCTTCTTTATTACAAAATGAGGGAATCAGACTGAAATAATCATCCAACATTCACTTTCCATAACAAATCCTGAATTATCAAAGGAATCTGGGTGTAACCAGTTTGTATTTTTTTTTTTTAAAACTTGTTTATACTATTTCTTAAGCCTTTGCTCAGATCAATACCTGGCTGAGAATACCACATCTGTAATTCAGGAAAATTAATGTTTGGGAGTGCACTGCAATAACAGAAAAGGAGTAAACTAAGACCACTGTACCTGGCAAGAGCAAATGCTGATTTAAGTGCTCTATGACCAGACCACCCTCAAACCCCAACTGCAGCAGCTACCACTGTGCAACTGAAATTAGGTGAGGAGAAGAGATGAAGACTTTGAAAAGCACCTTTGTAGCCATAAAGGAACTTGATTAACTGAGGCAGGTAAAGCAACTGCCAGAATAACCAAAGGCACTATAATATTCCAAGTCCTGGGAAGGCTGACAGTCCTGGACCTGTACATGTACCTTATCAGCAGACAAGCAACCTCAGACACCAAGTGTTCAACTACTGAGATCTATCTCACAATCAACCACTCAGATCTATGTCACAATCAAGGCAAAGATGTCATTTTCCTGCAATTAGTGCAGAACCATGTTTTTGCCAGCAATTACATTTACCCAGGAGCTCTTGAATCCTGGCAGAAGGCCTCTACTGGAAGCCTTTACTGGCACACTATGTTATACATATTTGAGCTGCAGTTCTTTCCCAGCACAACTTGACTCATATACTTAGCCTTTCCCTGCATGTCATTTAATGTCCCACCTCTGTTCCTTTCAGGTTATGGAGACAAAAAAAAAAAATTAGAAAATATAGGTAATTCCCCAATAACATTACTCTTCTCCTGATCTTAATGAAACACAGGCTTTTAGACTTCTTTTGCCTACTAAAGCATGTATTATTTGCATGTTTACATTAAAATTCATTTATAGCAGAACTCTGAAAGAACATTTAAGAATTTTAGATGATTTTTTATCTAGGTAAGTTTATCAAGTCATACTGGAGGGTTTTAATCCTATGGCAGCCTCCAGATTTTTAGAAGAGACTGAAAGATGAGGTCGAACCACATCTTCATTCTTTCCCACATTACTACCTCCCCTATCTGTAAATACATGAAAAGTACTCATCCACTTTTACTTTTCCGTATTAGTATTTCTACACACCTGAGTCACGGAAAGGTACCCGTCTATTATTTTAAGTTGTTGTGTATTCTGTCAATTACTGTAAACTAATTTATACAAATTTTAGTATTAAATTAATCCAGACCGATGTTTTCTTTCTTCCCCTCAGGAAGAGCCATAAATCTTTTCAGCAACACATCAGGTTAAGAATATATACGTGATATTCATGTACCATCAAAACACATATGGAGAGGTATGCAATGACTTGCCAAATTATATGAAGAACTGGTTTTTGTTTTTACTGTTCCTGGGCATATGATCATTTCCTTTAACCTACTTCCATCATGCTTAGTATTACAACCCCCAGATAAAGCTGCATCTTCCACATCATCAGGAAACGTTTAAGAAAACCTGGAATACAGAACAGGAAACAAAGACCTAAATGGGATAAGGATACCCAGGAGCAGGCTAGAAAGAGTCTTCAAAGATGAATGATCTGATCCAATCCTATATTCAGTATGTCTTACTCACATAACTTCTGAAGCTTTGCAGAAGCTTGCAGAATTGTCACCATAATGCTAACAAATTTAGGGTTGGGTCACAATGCCCTCAATATGAAACCAGTGAAAGGTTTAGAGTTCAAATACTTCATAAATATGTAACACCTCTAGTAAAATAAAGCTTTCCCACCTTCTTTCAAAGATATACCATTCAGCTTCCTTGAGAGTGAGCAGTTTCAAAGATACGAGATTTTTTTTTAACAGTTTTGATTTTTTTACATCAATATGAAGATTCTACATTACCAGTTTTCCTACCTGAGGCCTCAAGAATTAAGCAGCATGGAATAATCAAACCCTTACCATCCCCCCCCAAAATCCAGATGAAGACCATCAAACCCTTAGTACTTCTGTCACTACTACAGCAATAAAGCAGAAGTGTAAATGTAGTATTACGATTCTAGGCATAGTTTTAAAATCCATATTTTCCAAAACTATCAGACACTTAGGAAATTCAGGACTGTGGTTATCTGGAAGAAGAAAAAGATACATGAAATAATTCATTTCCAACATAGTAAGAATAATGCTAAAGCTCAGCTTTTATACAGCTAGGCTTAAAGGCACAATGTATTCAGTCTTCAGTAACTACCATCATTCAAATTATCCTATTTCTGATGATTCTTTAATACACACCAATAACCACAGTAAAGTACATCTGCCTAACCTAACCAACTCTAAGATGCCAACAGTGAATTGAAATTTGTAACTGGGTAAAATAAGACAACATTTCTTGTTAAGTGTTCATAGCAATGTTTTGCACAGTAGCCCCAGTTTAAAAAGATGCATGCCCAGTAACATAATGCAGCTCAGAAGAGCATGATTTGCATTTCCCTCCACCCCTCCCACACATCCCCCCACACCACCCTCCTGTGGTCTGGCTTTCAATACTCTATAATTTTTAAAGCTTCACTTCAAAAATGATGAAACTCAAACTATTTTTTTCTTAATGTTTAATACAACTTGGGGAGTTACAATACTATTCAGAGCAAACATCAAGTCATTTGTGATTAATTTACTGTCTTGTACACATACTTGTGATTAAAACCAGATTATCCATGGAAACTGAACTATTTTTTTATCTTTACCATTAATACTGAAGTGGGCCATAAGCCGGTAAAAAAATCTCAAAGTAATCATACACGAAAGTATATAAAGTGATTTTATTCTCCTGAGCCAGCTGTCATTTTGGAAGCTGTAAGAGGTATCTCGGACTTATGTTGACTTTCCTAAGAAGTACGTCTTCATAACTTGCTACTTTTCCCCCCATTTGTAATCGAAAAAGCATAGATTGCACTAGACATGCAGAG